AACCCATATTTCAACAACAACTCACATTCAACCCATACTCTATTATCATGTTGGGTTATCATGTTGTCTGAACCTAGTCATGGAGTGTGAACTTCCTAGTATCAATCACTGGTGGAATGTGTGTTCCAAATTGGTGGACTGAATGGTTTCATGTATTTGGGTGCTTCAAGGAAACAGTCTCATTATTGTAACATGGAACTGCTGGCTTCTGAATGCTGATGTCATATCATGTTTTCCCTTGTTTCTCCTAGCTATCATTAATCCAAAACAGCCCAAGGAGACACCCAAAAGTTTCAGCTTTGACTATTCCTATTGGTCTCACACAACAGTAAGTAGACAGATGGCCATGAATGGCAATGCATTTGCTGTGGGTCCCTTTTCTTTGACTTAGCACTGGGTTTGAATTCTAAATCTTTAGTGAGATTTTCCCATATGTATATCTGGCTAAAAATAAAGCAAGGAAATTATTCAGTAAATGATTTGAAACGGGAAATAATTCTGAGGAATAATTACAAGCAATTCATGGGCAAATAGCTGGAAAATTGTGACTCAGCTGTTGTTATATATTTGGCCAGATGCATTTGTGGTTTTTGCACTCTGTGCAAAAGTTTGAAAAGTGTTGTTGAATACAGTATTACTTGAGGTGTTAGTTGAAATACCTTCAAAATATCAAACCCGCTATTTTACAACATTAGTCCAAATGAGTATAGACCAGCCTTTCCTAGGCTGGTGCTTTCCAGATGTTTTGCTCTTCAACTTGTGTAGTCCAAGACAAAATGACAAATGGTCAGGAATTTTGGCAGTCATAGTCCAAAAAGTTGCAAGTTGGAAAAGGCTGATCTAAGGGCATAAAAGAAAAGCTTTCATTCTTCAGCACTGAGCACATCCAGAATGGCTAGCTGGCTCTAGTCTTCTCCTACAACTCAGCTGGGCACTGATAATGGATACAGCCAGATCTTTTAATAACATGAGAACGAAGCTAAGTGTTAGGGAACTGCTTTCCTGGATGATAGTCTGGAGAATAACTATTTTCTTTGGTGCCTTAGCTGCAATTACTGTCTTCAGTCTGTAATCTCCCAGCCATGCTCAAGTTGTTATACCTTGATGTATGATGTTTCAGAAAAGCTTATTAAATTTGTTCTTCACCTGCTGAAAAGGTGCCATAGCTTGCAAAGTACTTGTTTCCCACTTTCATGAGTCTGATTCACACATGCAACTGCAGCAAAAGGACAATTCTATTCCATCCACTCACTAAAATTTAGCCCTGTCTGGCTTTTTATTTTGCTTCAAGGGTTACTCAGAAGTAGCAGGTGAGGAAAAATATTCTGATCAGGTGATGCTCTGATGTGAAGTTGCAGTACGTAATGCAATGGAAAGGCAGACATGTTTTGTGTCCTGATTTGTTCCTGGTCACCCACACGGTGATCCCTGTTTTCTTTCTTTTGATAGCCTGAAGACATCAACTATGCCTCTCAGAAGCAAGTATACCGGGACATTGGAGAAGAGATGCTTCAGCATGCTTTTGAAGGTTATAATGTCTGCATCTTTGCTTATGGCCAGACTGGAGCTGGCAAGTCGTACACTATGATGGGCAAACAAGAGAAGGACCAGCAAGGAATAATCCCCCAGGTAAACATGGGAAGGGTATGCAGCTGGAAGAAAAGTAGGCCAGGAAAAGCATGCTTATGATGTAAAAGAAGGTGCAAGTTAGGGGTGAGTTACTACAAGGAGAGAGGCAGATGAGAAGCCACCGTGGCTTCTGGGCAGAAGGGGAGGATGTAGCACCACCTAGTGGAAGGTGACAACTTTAAACACCAGGTGATGGAAAGGCAGAGAGAATTTATCCAACGTGATCAAAATACCCAGAAAAAGCAGAGGTGATGTGAAGAGAATGTCTGACCCCCACAAAAATGCTGCATGGACAAGAAGGCCTGTGGGTTAATGTAACTCACAAAATGGAACTGGCTCTTCCTTTATGATTAGTAATTGGCTGTATGTATGTGTTCTAGTGGAACTTCATCTCAGGAAGCCAATTTATTTATTTATTTATTAGATTTATATCCCGCCTTTTTTTAGCGCTAAATTTCTGCAGCACCTTTTAAACCAAGTATTAATGGCTTCAAGTCAACTGATGTCACACATTGGAATGATGTATCCCTCATCCTGTGGGATTGTAAGGATTATTTGCAGGATGGTCATGTGTCCTGATTCACAGAGAGCAGTCCTCTGTGTGAAGAGCTGTCAGGAGGATGTCCTCCATTTGAAGGTGTCCAGTTTAAAGTTCAAGGCCCATAAGAAGGTACAGCAGGAGCCTTGAAGCTGCTCACCAGGAGTGATTATTTGGACAGCAGCCTGAGCAGGCACACAGAGTGAGAAGTATTATAGCAATTGTTTCTGAATTTGCACCTATACATACCAACCAGCAGATTTTATGCATATCTGTGCTGTCTTCTGACTTCTCTCTTGGTGATGCATAGTTTCCTTTAGTTGATGTGGAAGTAGCCACTCTGGTGACTTCAAGTAATGGATATGAAGCAGAAAAAGTACAGAACATACAAATAAATGCTATTTACTAAGGAGTAATCAACAGTGCCATTGCCTAAGGCTGCTATTCTGGGTCTTTCCCCAGATCCTGGAGAAACAGGACATAATGTTTGAGAGACTGAACTGCTTAGCCATTGATCAGAACACCATCCTCACTTCGATAAATAGGCTGACAGCTTACGTAGCTGTGTGTTTCTACCAATGCCCAGAAGTAGCATCACTGGGGGGGCAACAATTGCCTGTGGGTGGATCCAGTACTGGAAGTGGGGCCAGTTGGTTGGAAGGTCAGGGATGCAGAGTAGGAGAGAAGAAACGGGAAGAGGCTGCTGGTTTGCTCTATAAAGAAAGCCAGGACACCATGGGAGGAGAGCTAAAGTAAGGGTAGGTGGGTAGAGACTTAGGGCTTAGAGGCCCGGGTTGCCCTTGGGTTAAAGTGAAGACATCTCTCTGCCCTGTGATGAAGAGGCCAGAGTAATACCATTGCCCAACAGCCCTGACTGCAGAGGAGAGAAGAGAGAGCCCAGAGAGGGCAACAGCAGGTGGGAACTCAGGTTCACTAGCTGAACAAGCAGGGTTTTCAAGCCTGTGACCTGTACCAGAACATTTACCGGAGGTTCCAGAATGATCTTTCATTCATTAGAGGGTTAGAACATGCAGAGCTATGTTAGTTGCATCCCAGGGACACAGATCCTCTCATTCAGCAACAGAAATCTTTGTAGCTGCCAGACGGTTGGGGTGGATCCTAAATCAATGGAACTATTGTCACAGATACGCATAACTCTTTCTCTTTCCTTCTTATGCTATACAGCTGTGTGAGGATCTCTTCTCTCGAATCAATGACACAACAAATGACAACATGTCATACTCAGTGGAGGTACAAAGTGTTACTTAGCCATATTGTTTGTACAGTTTCCTGGGGGACAAGAGAAAATTTATGATGTGGTCATTGGATGTGCATGCAAGTATAATCTAATTCTGGAAATGCAGAGCTGTTGGAAAATGTGTCAGCCAAAATGTTCCAGAATATTGTGTTACTAAAATATAGTATTGACTTTAGATTTGCCTAACAGATGTATTACAAATGATTAAGCTAAATTTGACCAAGTAGATTAATGAGAGAGCACAGGCTATAGACAGATACGCACCTTCAAAGTTAAACTTGTAGGATAAGATGAGTATCCTATTTCAGACTGCTTATGTGTTATGCGGGATTTTTGACAGGGGCATCTGTTTTCATATGGGGGAGGCTGTCTTTTAAATAAACCAGAATTTTGACAGCCCCTGACTCCAAGCAAAGAGGACAGAGTGCATTTTTCCATCTTCTTGAGTCTTGGGAATGGATGAAAAAGCTGGGGGCACTGAGACCTCTCAGAAGAACTCAAAAAACTCTAGGATCCCAGTGCCAAGAAGGGATAAATCATTCCACTCCAGTTTTGCTAGCAAAGCTCAGACACATCTTTTCTCTAAACTTGACAGCTTGCATTTTCACACACTTTCAAGTCAAAACAAAGTGAAGAAAAAGATTTCTGGGTCAGTGTCTGTAGTTGGTACCTGGACATTGACAGCAGGTACTCTCCTGGACATTACCTAAGTGAGAGTTCCCATTTTCACCCCAGTGACACCCCCCCCCCAGTGTGATTCTTGGGCCATTTGGAGGAGCTGTCTATAGCTGTCAAAAAAGAGATTGTGAAATTGATCTCCAAGGAGGGGAATAAAGAGGGGAAGCCCTATTGCATTGTGCGGGGGCAATAAGCCAACAATAGTCACCAACCCCATGCTGCTTGGGCAATAGTGGGGTGGCTGGCCCTGACTGAGACCTTGGCAAGAGTTATTTACTGAACTTATGAAGCAGCTCACTTGCCATCATCCACAACCCACACTAGGGATGATTGTCTGGGTCTGGATGGCATATCCACTAACCATAGATAAAACAAACCCTGCTTCTAAACCATGGTTTCTCAATGGGTTGTTGGAAGCAGTCATGGTTTGGGCCACCCAACAGCCAACCATGGCTCACTGCCTATGGTGCATTGTCATGCCCTGCTAAGCATAAGTGTAATGTACAGAAAATTTGGCAATTAGTAGAAGACTGGGAGAACCATCATGTTCATGCTTACTTGGACGTACATCCCACTGTATTCGGTGAGCTTTACTGCCAGGTAAGTATTCAAAGGATAGCAACTGGAAATGCTTAACTATTTTGCTAAATTCGTTTCATTTGTTTATAGACTTTCTTTGTGGGGTCATTCCAAATATCTTTCTCAATTCATTCTTGGAAAATGCTATGTTGTAGGTAACTTCTTTGATGTCATTGGAGTTTTTGTTTTATTTTGGAAAAAAATGCAATATTATGTTTATCAGTCCATGTCTATAAGATCCTATGCTACTGCTGATGTCCAAATGCAGGTTTTTAAAAAATGTGTAATTCTTATAGTCTGCACCTTGTGTGTCACAGGTGAGCTATATGGAAATATATTGTGAACGTGTACGTGACCTTCTTAATCCCAAGAACAAAGGAAACTTGAGGGTGAGAGAGCACCCACTGCTTGGACCATATGTTGAAGATCTCTCAAAACTAGCTGTCACATCCTATAATGACATCCAGGATCTAATGGACTCGGGGAACAAAGCCAGGTAAAACAGAACTATTCTATTCTTTCATGGAGCCATGGATCTAGTTGTTATTCCAAATTTGTTCTTGTTTTATGTGATAAGAGACAGAGGTTGGCCATGAGGGCAGTTTGATGATATTAAGCTACCTAAGATGAAACTCAAATACTTGGGCCACCTAACGAGAAGGAAGGACTCACTGGAGAAGACCCTAATGCTGGGAACAATTGAAGGCAAAAGAAGAAGGGGACGGCAGAGAATTAGGTGGCTAGATGGAGTCACTAAAGCAGTTGGTGTGAGCTCAATTGGACTCCAGAGGATGGTAGAGTACAGGAAGGCCTGGAGGAATGTTGTTTGTGGGGTCGCGATGGGTCAGACATGACTTTGCGACTAACAACAACAACAAGAAGCTAGGCATCTACAGAACTATAGCAGATGTTGAGCCCAACATCACTCAAGACTGGAATGACCAGAGCCAGTGTGGTGTAGTGGTTAAGGGCATGGGACTGGGACTCAGACAATCCGGGTTCTGGTCCCCCTTCAGCCATGGAGCCAACTGGGTGACTTTGGGCCAGTCACAGACTATCAACCTAGCCTACCTCACAGGGTTGTTGTTGTGGGGATAAGATGGAGGAGGAGAATGATGTAAGCTGCCTTGAGCCCTTTGTAGGAAAAAGGCAGGATATAAATTGCAATATAAATAAATAAAATATAAAATATACAGTTACTAGTGGTTTCAAGATAATGCTTCCAGGTAGACCCAGGATCCAGATGGCCTTTGGTGCAAGTGGACTTGCAGATTAGTGGCAGTCACTTTAAAACCTATAGCAGGTAAGGAGAAGGGAGGTGAATGTGGAGTTTAGAAACAGGTCTATGGCTGGCTGAGAGCACCAGATCGGGGAAAGCTGACTTTGATTACCCATTGCCAGCCTGGAATCTTTTCTTTTCAGCCTTGCTTCCCAAGTAAGGATTCTGAGATTCTACAGACTGGATTTGTTTAGTATTAACTGTTTGAGTTATTACTATACAAAGCCATTACTTGGATAAATCTATTGCTTTGAACCTGGACTCTGGCGAAAGGGATTCTAAAATCCAACAAATTGCTTATGTCATGCTTACTGGCCTGTCTGTGTATCAGTGCCTGTTTGGTCCTAATAAGGCAAAGTGGAATAACCAGGTAGTAATGTCATGTAGAAATCCTAACTTAAAATTTCAATACAGCTGTGAAAAGCACAGAATGACTTTCTGAGAGCTGACCATTGAGAAGATTACCAGATGGCATTCATCAGAAAAACATTTAAAGACCTAAGGATTACCCCCAGCCTGCCAAATGGCCTCCCTGAAGCTTGGAAAAAGTAAATCAAAACCATGCAGTATTTTAAGGAACAGGAGGGAAAGGAAAGGGGGGATATTTCATGCAAGTTAGCACAGGATGGCTTACTATCTACATTACCAGTATTGGACTGGTCAGTAGCTCTTACAGAGACCCTGCAAGAGCCCAGCATTTCAAGATCCTCGATGGAACTGGCTTCAGAGCTGGCCCTTGCAGAATGTTTGCCTGCTATTGAGGGAGTGCAGCCAGTGGATAAGGATGAGCCAGTGGGTGGAGTGAACTCAGTAACAGAATTTACTCAGAGACACCACTTTGTGCTTTCTTCTAATATCACACTCTTGAAACAGAAAACAGTCTCTGCTTGAACAGAGGAATCAGAGGAAGGTAATTTCAAGACTGAACAATAGTTTTATTTGGTTTGTGGAGATCTATCTCTTATTAAAAATTTCCTCTCAGAAAGTAATGAACTATTAACAACATTGGTGGAGGGCTATAAATCCCAAGAGAGGTATGATGGGACTAAGGGGTAAAAAGCATTGCTCAAGTCAAGACAACCAAGAAATCTAAATAAAACACACACACCTCTGCCAGTCCTGAGATACATATTAAAGATGCTGACAAAACAGTTCATAAGAAAGTAAAAATTAGAAGAAATATAAAAAATATCAAAACATAAGAACGTGGAAGAAGGTGGTCCATTGCTGTCAAAATCAAAACCTTTAAAAAAAATTAATACTTAGCCCTGTGATTGCTGGTGGCCTTTTTATATTATTGTTTTAATCTTTTAATTGTTTTAATAGGTTTTAATATGTTGTTATTTATATGTGAATTTAATGTGTTGTTTTAATATGCTTAATATGCTGTTGTAAGCCGCCTAGGAAAGCCTTTTGGCAGTTATAGGCGGCATATAAATAGGTGCACAAATAAATATGTACATAAGCTCTTGTAATAAGAAACAACTTTGGAATAAAAGCAGTCTTATTTCTGAACCATCTTACTGATCCATGTAGCTTACACCCATGCTTATGTAAGTTCTGATGTAAGCAAGATTGACTGAGTGGCACCCGGCTCCCTAGGAAATGCCTGAATGATCAGATGGTCAAAACACAAGGTCTATGAAAGGTGTAAAGCCCAATTTCATGATGAAAAGTGTTTCTCCTTCCAAATGAGAAGAGATCAACATTTGGCCTTGTTTGCAATTTGAACAGATTCATACAATGATGCAACAGGTAGCTTCCCAGGTATACCAGTTGCATGATAGGCTTTGTATATGTGGAAGACCTGGCCCATTAATTATTGGAATACGGATTATGTATCAGCTACAGGGAGCACTACCTCTATCAGTTTTTTGACTATATAAGAAACTGAGCAGCTGAGAGCAAGCTGAACTTTTTCTTACAGGGCTCGAATCAGTGGCTCTGAGGATTGAACTCATTGCGATTAAGTCAGCCAGTTTAAGGAAAAGAGAGAAGGGGGGAAATCCTGATTAAACAAGCTATTAACAGTTACATGTAATAACGTTTCCCTTAAATACTTATGTAGGGTATTAATAGGCTTACAAGACCTTTTTATTATTAAAAGGTGAGTTTTTAGTCCTTCTCTCTTTTAAATAATCTTAATATTTCATTATAGTCTCTCATTTTAGACTTTCATGTGTTAGTATATCACTGGGGTGACCAGGCTACAAGTGCGCATCCACAGGCACCAACAGCAGTGAGCAGCAAGCCACAAAATATTCTCAAAGAGCCACTAACTCTCAAGTCTTGGTTTGGCCAATTCTAGTATATTACTATAAAGTTTATGCACCTACTGTCTGTCCTTAATGTGTGATTATTGTATTTGAAAGTGTCTGTAGACTTATTCAATAAATTTGGATTGACTGACTTAGTTTTTATAGAAAAGCTTTCTGATAGCACTGGATTTTCTTTGCTGGGCCTAATGAGATACAGCAGTTGGTTAACTCCTCTGCACTATTCTTGCTTAAAAGGACGGTGGCTGCCACCAATATGAATGAAACCAGCAGCCGTTCACATGCAGTCTTCAATATTATCTTCACTCAGAAACGACACGATGCGGAGACTGACATCACCACGGAGAAGGTAGGTAAGAAAGATGAGCAGAAGCTAGAAGCCCCGCCAGCAGCACTAGGGACAAGGATGCCACATTCCCTGGCATCATCTCAGTTGATCTTACTGCCCATCCATGACTAAGTCTCTGACCTCAGCTGTCTGTTTAGCTAAATGGATGAACATTGACTCAGTGGAATGAAGCGCAAAATGCATCATTGTACAGAAAAGAGCTTTAAAGAGGAGAAGAATAGCTTAGAAGATTACTCAGAAGAACTTGATATTATTTCATCTTCCTTACATATCAATAGATAATCTATCCTTTGCACCTCTTTTGGATTTGATGTGCATTGAGGACATTTAGATAAAGGAATAGAGGCTGCAATGTATGGAGAGCAAGACATTTCCAGCACATTTTATTTCCTCCTTTGCTTCCTTCCATATATTTATAGGCTACCTCCTTCCTAGGAGGCTTACAATGCAAAACATACTATAGCAAATTTGTTATTACAGACAATACTAAAAGTATCAGCTGAAGATGCAAGAGCATGATCAGACCCCTGCTGCATCATATCAGATGTCCACATTCCAAGACTGTGTCCTTGCTGGGAACAATAAGAGAGGGCCCCTTGCTTTGTGGGTTTCCGAGAGGAATCTGGTCAGTCATTCTAGGAAAGAGGACATAAATCTAGCATCCTGTTTCCTAGACCAACCAAATGCCTCTGTTCAGTTGTCATGGCAAACAAGTGTGGAATGAGTCCAACACTTTCACCTGAACAACGTATTTGCTGCCAAAATGTATATTCCTGAAGCTCTCTGGGCAGGTGATATTATGTACCTCATAACAGCTGAGAGGCAGAGAATTTATTGTTGTTGTTATTGTTCCTGCTGCTGCCCCAGAGAAATGTGAAAGTTACCTTGGACAACATGTTTCTAAGCAGTTTTCCCATTTCAGGTCAGCAAAATCAGTTTGGTGGACCTTGCAGGGAGTGAACGGGCTGACTCTACTGGAGCAAAAGGAACAAGACTTAAGGTAAGAGAAGAAAGCAAATTAAGACATTAGGCATCAACACATCTCTGAGAGGGGCTTAATATACCGAGAACTTCATCAACTGAGTGATATAAAAATGAAATAATAAATAAATATGACTCTGTTGTATACAGGATTGGGCACTCTGAGGCATGACATTATGACCTAGTATCATCTCAAACAGAGCACACTTGTGGGTTTTGATCATTTCTCAACCTCTCTTTCACCTGGGCTAGTAGAAGACCCTTGTAGTTGTAAAGAGATTGATACTTCCAGAACCCTAACCCCAAGTTGAAGCTTAACCCTAATTTACTAAGTCCAGATACTCCCCATGCATTTGGTGGAGTGCAGCAGAGGTCACCAGCTCCTGGTTTTTGTGAATGGTTTGACTTCATTGCCTCACCTGGGTTAGTTTTGGACTCCTAGAGCTTCAGGCAGGCTAAAGTTTTCCTAACCTTAAGCCAAACTCTTTCGTTACCATATGGAGCATTGCAGCAAAGACAGCAGACCCTTGTTTTTTTGTTGATGGATTAACATATCAGCCTCCTTCAAGCTCATACTGGAGTGTTAGAACAGCAATGGGACTGAAATTTCCTGAATCATAACCCTATATGGAAGGTTATTCTTAGTTTTGCCATGGCCATGGGTCTCCCATATATTTGGAGAACTGGGGAAAGGCAGCTCACTCCTGGTTTTTGTATATGTCTTGACTTCTCTCCTTCATCTGAGCAACTTTGGAACAGTAGGACTGCAGGGTGGTTCATACTCGCCTAACCATGACCCTGACCTGAAGCTTATCCCTGGTTCACCAAAATCCATGCATTCCTCATCCATTGGAACAGTACAGCAATGTGCAATCTTTGTTTTTCTTGATGGCTTTTTTATTTATTTAAAACATTTTTATGCTGCCCGCATTGGAACAAAGCCTCGGGGCGGCTCACAACAAGAACAAAATATACAAATATAACAAATTATACAATAAAAATATTAAAACCCAGTGCATCTCGGCTTAAAAGATTTAAAATCCTATAAATAACCAATAAATTAACAATTAAAATAAGTTTTAAATAAAAAGGTCTTAGCCTGGCGCCGAAAAACAAATAATGACGGTGCCAGGCGGACCTCTCTGGGGAGCGCATTCCATAGATGGGGCGCCACCACAGAGAACTTGACTTCTTTGCCCCAGCTGAGCCAGTATGGTACCCAATAGACCTGAAGGGTGATTGATATTTTTGTAAGCCTAACATTAACAAGTAGTTTAACTCTAGTTTTCCCAAGGCCATCTACTCCCCATACATTTGGAACACTGCAGCAAAGGCAGTGCACTCTTGGTTTTCCGGATGGCTAGAAATACCTGCCTTCCTGAGCTAGTTCTGAAGCAGTAGAGATTCAGAATGACTAACACCTTCTGAGCCCAACCCTAACCTGAAGCTAGGCTGACCAGGGCTCCATACTCTGTACCCATTTGGAACAGTACAAGCAAAGGCAGCAAATTCTTCATTTATCTACGTAGTTCAACATCTCTGCCTCCCTGGAGGTAGTTCCAGATCCCAACCCTGAGGACTGATATTTTCTCAAACCAAACCCTAACTGGAAACATCACCTAAATCTTTCCAAAGCCATGTAGCCCCACCACACTTTTCAAAAAGTGCAGCAAGTACAGTACGCTCTTGGTTTTTCTTCATGGCTTGACTTTCCTGCTGTCCCTGAGCTACTTCAAGAGTACTAAAGTGGCAGGGGAATTAAGTATTTCAGAACCCTAACCCTACCCTAAAGCTTCATCCTAGGGTTACCATAGCCATATAATCCCAATCCATTTGGAGACTTGCAGGAAAGGGATCCACATTTTGGTTTTCATGCTTGACTTGACTTCTCTGCCTCCCTGCAGCTAGTTATGGGCATCTAGAGGTACAGGGAGACTGATATTTTATGACCCCTAACCCTACACTCAGGCTAAACCTAAAGTTTTCTAAGGAACAGTTCTCTCCATTCATTAGCAGTTGTGGAGAAAAAGCATCAATCACTTGGTTTTTCCTCATGGCTTGACTTCCTTGCCTCTCCTGATGTAGCCCTGGACTCCTAGAGCTTCAGAGAAAGTAATAATTTTGGAAGCCTAACCCTAAGCTGAAGCTTTACCCCAGGATTCTCATGGCTATATACCCCCCTTGCATTTGGAAAAGTGCAGGAAAGGCATCATCATCTTGTGTGGATGGCTCAAATTCTCTGCCTCTCCTGAGCTTGTTCTGGACCTCCAGTCTTGCAGAGATTTTCATATTTTTCTAACTTTAATCCTAACCCAAATTTCAACATCAGATTGACCCAAGTGTATTCCCCACACTTCGAGATGTTCCACAAAGAAAGCAGACCCATGCTTTTTGTTTATTTCTTGACTTTTCTGCCACTGTGGGGCTTGTTCTGGACCTGCAGAGCTGCCAGGGGAGTGATATTTTCCTAACCCCAAGCAGAAGTTTAACCCTAGGTTTATCAAGGGCATATACTATCACTTGTAGTAGTGCAGTGATGCCAGCCAACTCATCATTTTTTCTGTTTTCTCAACTTCTTTGCCTCCCCTGACCTATTTCTGGAGCCATAGATCTTCAGAAAGACCTTTCATTTCACAGACTGTAACCCTAATGTGAATATTAGCCCTAAGTATACCAAGGCCATGTACTCCCCATCAGTTTACATGATCTGAGGTAGTTTCGGGGTCTTAGACCCATACAGAGAGTGAAACTTTCTTGAGCCTAATCCTAATGGAAGTTTAACCATACATTTACTGTGGTCATGTACTCTGTCCATTTGAAGAAGTTCCTAAAATAATTCTCACTAGAATTTTTTTTGATGGCTCCATTTCTCTGTTTCATCTGGTCTAGTTCTAGAGTCCCAGACCTGTAGAGGAACTAATAATTTTCTAACTCTCACCTTCATGCTATTCTGAAGCTGAACTCCATCCTTAACTGCCCTAACCCTAACTTCTATCCCATGTATTTGCATAACTTCAGCATAGGCAGCACACTTGGGTTTTCATGGAAAGCTCCCTGTTTCTCCTCACTAGGGCTGGTTCACAGGCCCTAGGGCTGTACAAAAAATGATAGTGTCTGACTGATAACCCAAACCCCACCTGAAACTTAATTGAACCTTTACACCTATGCACACTTCTCATGAATTTGCAAAGCTTTGGCAAAGTTAGCACAGCAGGTTTTGTTTTTGTTTTTTTTGAAAGTTTGCTTTTTCTGCCTGACCTGAGCTCATTGCAGGCCCTTAGACCTGCACAGGGACTGATATTTTCCCAACCATAAGCCTATTCTGATGCTAACATGAACCTTAATGGTGCCATATACTCCCTATGCATTTGGTATAGTTCAGTAATGTCAGTGCTGCATTGCTTTTTAGGATGGCTTGTTTCTTCTGCCTGGTAGAAGATATGCACAGGGAGAGTAGTTCTGAAATCTCTTTATTGTGCTGAACAGAATGCATAGCACTGCTAAAATGATTTCTTTGTGCAAATTCTGTGCTGGAATTAGCTGTTCTAAGTGAAATTGTTTCATTCTCACAGGAGGGAGCAAATATCAATAAATCGCTAACCACCCTGGGGAAGGTGATTTCTGCTTTGGCTGAGATGGTAAGGCTTCCATTAATATTGGGGCTGCAGTGGGATTGTATTGGGAAAGTTTCTTCTGTGCAGAGTTTTCTCCTGCCTATAGATTCTATAGGGCTTCACGAGGCTCAATCATTTGGCCTCTGGAAAAGATGTCAGATAAGCATTTGCTTTCTTAGCAGCATCCAAATGTCATGGAGCTGCTATGGATCAAATATGTGGCATGATAAATATCCTGTGTTTCATAACAGTGGAACAGAAAATGTTCATCAGGTTCACTGTACTATTAATTTAAGATAGTAGATTGCCAAAAAAATTGGGAAATCCCAGATGAAATCTCATGATAACATGTTTTATAAGAGGCAAATCAAAACAGGACAAAAACATTTGAAGTACCAGATAGGTATATTAAGTTTTTGCATTTTTAAAGATGGTGTTTTTGTCTGAAAGCATGTTCACTCTTAAGCATAATAAATGTAAATAGCTTGAGCTCTGGAAGTTTTGAACACATGATCTTAGTAAACTGGACCTTACTAGAAGAAATGGTTCATCTGATGGCCATTCACTGTCATATTTCATAAGAGCACACAGAAGAAATGGTTTCTTATACATTAGGGTAATGAGACCATACTCCAATCAACCAACCTGCTAGGGAGCAGCCTTCACCAGCATGCTGACATCTAATATTTTGGAGGACAACTTTCAGCATGCCTGACCATTCATGGTCTAGCCAAGAAAGACCCTGAAGCACTTCCCACTACAAGTGCTGGGTCCTGCCATCCTAAAGGGGCAGCCTTTGGCAACTTCTGTGAATTGTGGCAGCTGAACTGGGCAATCTTTCCCAGAGCCATCCTTCTAGTTAGGAATCTGCAGTGCACAGAGCTAAATGCTGTTCTAGCCATCTACCACACCAAAATGCTATTGTGAACATTGCCTCAGAATTGTGGTTGAATGTTCTTCATTTAGGAATTTGAAATTATATCTGGGTTGTGGGAAGTCAGAATGCTGTCCTATATTCTTCTCTCAGTCCATTCTTAGACCCAATCATTCTTTCCTTTAAATCCATTTTGATCATAAATTATAATGAAACTCTAATGGATATCTTTTGTTTGTTTTCAGGATTCAGGACCAAATAAGGTAAATGCTTGTGTTTGGGATATGGTGGTAGTACAGAATGTTGTTTAATTTTGAAATATTATAAAGTTTCAAAGCATGTGATTGGGCAAAACTGTAGTTACAAACACAATATACGTATTAGCTAGTTCATCCAGGGAAGCTGGTTCTGCTACTATTGAAATTATACTGAGTATAAGCTGATGTTCTCCTGAGCTGTGAAATCACTTGTTTCCCGGTTCTTCTGCATTTATCTTGGCTCATAGTACATCCTGTCTCTAGAAAGGTGCAGCACTGATTGTACTTTTGTACAAGTAATCCAGTTTAGAGCAGGAAATTCATGCCATCATCCTAGGCAGCATTTTGTATTTTCTCTGAAGATCCTTTATATTTGTTATTTGAAATGTATTTACAATATTATGAGATACTTTCTTAATGAGATATCTGTTATAAAAATTACCATCTAAGCCGTTTGTTATCCTGGATATATATAGGGCTTAATTCAATGTGTTACTTATCCTTCATGAATCTGCATATACTTCCAGAATCAGTGGTGTCTGTTCCACTTTCGTGTTCTTTCCTTCCTGTAGAATAAGAAAAAGAAAAAGACAGACTTTATTCCTTACCGGGACTCTGTACTTACCTGGCTCCTTCGAGAAAATCTAGGTACTTCATTCTCATTGCATCATCCATGTTCTGTCCTTACTCTTACCAGATTTCTAGCCAGTGGTCCTCTAGTCTCTTCTGCTTCCCGGCCATTTATGGTGTCCCTAATAAACTCCCATTGCTGCTGAAGAGATGGATAACACTCCTGTAAATGGCAGGTTTGCCACTGATAGAGCATGCTTGCACCCTGCCTTTGCCTTGTACTCTGCAAGTCATAGTGTTGGATGTGGCTGTGGATCAGTTGTGGGATAACATGGTTTGCATTCAAAAGAGCTCAGGTTCAATCCTTGCCATCTCCAGGTAGGGCTGGAAAAGCTCTTGCCTGAAGCCCAGGAGAGCCACTGCCACTCAGTGTTGATTGTACTTTGACTCAATATAAAACCTCTTTCTATGTTCTTACTGTTTGGGTGAGTGTTGGGACTATAATGATGCTGTAGAGTTGAGTTTGAGTACATTGGTTGCCTAAATCTTATGTGCAAAATGGTACAGTAAACTCTAGCACGAAGGAACAGATAGATAGAAAGAGTTACAGCTGGTGTAAGATGTTGTGCTATTTGAAGCAAGACCATCCTTTTCTTCAAACCTCCATTTAGTGTGTTGTCCCACTGCTTTAGTGGCATGGGGGTGAGTTCAGCCATTCGTACCTCATTGTGAGGAGTCTGTCCTCACAACAGGGCATTGGGCCAAGAGAGTCATGTTAGCTGTAGCAGGAAAGTGGCTGATGGGGCTCTCCACAGATCTTTCCTTAGTGTGAGGTACTGGGTCTGGCATGAGTTCTGGAGAGTCCCACTGGCCAGCAGCTAGTACAGCCAGCCAGGGAAACACAACTGGTTATGGTGGTGCTGGTCAGTCCTCTGAGTAGTGGATATGGAGTTCGTGACCTGCTGCTCCTCACAATCTGCTGTCTGAGGCAAAGATTTTGCCTTGTTTCATGGGACAGCCAACCCTGGGAAGAGAGAGGAGCCTAAGAAGAGCTGTGGTATGTAATGTTGTCATAGTACGAGCCATTGTTGTCGTGTGTTCTCTGGGCAGGTGGCAACTCTCGGACTGCTATGGTAGCTGCTCTCAGTCCTGCTGATATCAACTACGATGAGACGCTCAGCACATTAAGGTAGGAGCTATGCAAGGATTCTCACACCCTGAAATAGGACATGGGCTAAAGGAGTGAGCCTTATCACATTAGGTTGGAATGTATCTTTATTTATAGAAATATTCTGGAAGGCTTTTTTTTTAATAAATTGGAGCTTTTCTAGCAATGGAGCTACTTAGGAATTACAAAGTGATTTTTAAAAATCTAGATCGTTTACATGGATGTTTATTCCACTGCATATTCATTTGGCAACAATTTCAGGTATTTTCACATAAAACAGTCAGCTTATATCTGCAGTTGACCGCTCGATTAACCTACAATAGTTACACAATAACAACAATGGTGAATGGCAGTCTAGAAAAGTACACAGATATATCTACATATGCTGAACAGATATAGTAAGGAGGAAAAACTTTCACATGAGCAAAATCACATTGTTAGTGCTATATAAAACTGCTAAATGGTCAGTGTAACTGAACTCAGTAAAATTATCCATGTATCCCTCTTTGAGACCTAGATTTTTCTCTTGCCTCTTTAATGACAGTGAAGTTGAGCTCCTTCCTGTGAAAGACACACAGTGTGCCGTGCAAATGCAGAACACACTGAAGTCCTGCAACCTCTCTGTATGTAGCACGGTCCTTGAGGGACCTCATTGTGCTGTCATCAGCCTGGCACTGCATAAGAGGAATGAGAATTATTTCTGTATAGTATTCTCCAATCCAGTTTGCTGGATTCAGAGGCTTTATCAATATTTTTGAGGAAGCCACATCTAGTCCAAAGGCAGGTGAACAAGAGGTATCAATCTGGTCCCCTATCCAATGGCCTCAAAGCCTGTCTTCTGCTTTAGTTTTGTATTTCTTGGCCTGGAAATATATTGGCAAACAATAGCACCCACCTCAGATATGGCTCTGAATGTTTTTCTTCTACTCAGCTTTTACTGGAATGGGGAGACAGGCAGGTGATAGGTGGAAGAGAAGGCTTCAAGAGGATGTTGTGAGAAAAATTGAATCTCAAAATGCTTGGCGTTGGGCTAGAATTTAAATATTTTCTGAGTTTGTGGGGAGCTATCTATCTATTAAATTCATATCCCACCTTTCTTCCTGCAAGGAACCCAAGGTGGCTTGTATAATCTTCCTCATCTCAATTTTGTCCTGACAACAAAATAGATTAGGTTGTGAAGTAAGGCTGGATCTCTGTGACTGGCTGAAAGTCACACAGTGAGCCTCATGGCTGAATGGAGAGTAGAACCTGGATCTTCCAAGGGCCAATTCAATACTCAAAGCACAACACCACCCTAGGTTTCATGCTGACCAGGGTGAATCACATCACTAGTTTTTACAGGTCACACTGCGTGGTAGGGGTCTTCAATGTGGTCCTTGTGGACACCTCTCTTGTCACTCACCAGGATCCCTGCCCGTTTTTGTCTTTGATTTTATTTCTTAAGATTTTTTAAATCACATTTTTAACTGGGAGGCTGGCATGCTGTAAGGTGAAATGCTGCCCTTCGTTATTTGAGTTTGTCAGAGTAATTTTGTGTTTTGGAGATCAGACCCTACCTCTGCCTTGTACCTGGGTTTTGGGGCAATTTATTTTTCTTTTAGTCTTATCAGTTTGCCTTATGGGAAAAGGATGCTTTGTGAATGGCTACATCCACCATCACAACCATTTTATGCATGGACAAGTTCCCATGGCAAACGTTTTGTGAGAGTGTTCATGACACTCTTTCAAGATCCCAAATGTGCCCACTAACCCAGAAAGGTTGAGGACCTCTGTGTAGGGATTGGAGCAGCCTCTGCAGTACAGCCTTTAAAGGTTGTTACCTCAGATTCTGAACCAGAACTGGGAGGGAGAGGTGGGATTGGAATGCTTTGCAGAAATGCCAAGGCCGAGTGACCCAGAGATGAGATAAGCACTCCCATAGAGAACCAGACAGTTTCAAGTTCTGTGAGAAACAGTTGAGCTTGCACAGAGCATGCAAGATGATCAAACATCTTTGGTTCAATTGCATGGCATCAGGTAAAAAGGGCAGACCAATCAGGAAGTATCAGACATTCTCCATGATAGGCCCATAGGCAACAAGAACCACCCAGAAGGTGGATACAGCTTCTTTTAGAAGACAGGAGATACAATCTAATTGGCATCAACTGCACATCATTAAACCACATTTCCTTAATAACCAGTATTTTAACTTAGTTTATACTTTTGGGGACTGACTTCTACAATGCTCTATTGTTTTACAAAGCCAGCCAGACTGGCCAGCTTTAACAACATACTTAGGAAGCCTTTTGACCTGATCTGCTTGGGGGCGAGTGGGGGAGGGAGGGGAAGGCTGGCACTAAGACCTGATTTATGGCATTTTCAGTAGCCCTTATTTAGCGAGAATACATCTTGTTCCCACAGGTATGCTGACCGTGCTAAGCAGATCAGGTGCAATGCCGTCATTAATGAGGATCCTAACAACAAGCTGATCAGAGAATTGAAGGATGAAGTGGCTCGCTTGAGAGACTTGCTCTATGCCCAGGGCCTGGGAGACATCATTGACAGTATGTTCACTTTCCATGCATTGGACTGGTGCTGGCATTTGCAGATGCCTTGCCTTTCTCCTTTAAATAGAATAAGTCTATCTTCCACGTAGTTTACTTTTCTGCTTGATAGGCCCACTGCCCTCCTCATCTGCTATGAACTAACCATAAGGAGGACATGCTAAGGACCAGATCATTTGTTCCAGCTGCCATGTGGAAGCTTTCTTTCCATGTGGTAAATCTGCAGAATGTACACTAGCTCCCCATAGGCTACTTATTTTTCTTTCACACTGCCATAGATTTCCAAGCGAAAGGTTTGTAGTCACATGGTGATCAATGCCTGGGCTATATGAAGCTGCTGCATGTGAAGTGCTCACTGTGTTGGCACAGCCATCAGCTGCAAGCACCTGTATAATGTAGAACAGAACCCTAAGGCAGCTCTGTCATTTGACCTCTCCCTGCTCCACCCTTTCTTTCCCTGTAGTCCCCCTTTTTGCCCATACATTTTTAGGTGTTTGCATCTAGATCCCCATGTTGATATTGAACTGTTCACTGGTCCAGCAGCAGGACCACTAGCATGTTTTGATTTTCCCAACATCTGACTTAGAGAATTGCCTCACTATATTATATTCCAGTGTGCAGTTCCTCAGCTCTGAACAAAGGAGGAAATGTTTGATTTGAGGGATATGCTGCACTTCAGGACTTTTCCGGTTCAGTATTTAATGGGGTAAACAATAGCAATTGTAGGTAGAGCCAAACATCTTTCTCCCAGGTGGTGCATTTGCGGTGGGATTCTTTTGCCCATGTCACACAAAAAGCAATGATTTGAGCTGGGCAGGATGTGATTCATCCCACGCAGAGCTTCCAATGTGAAAGTGAGGGAGGAGGCGGCTCCTTTTTTTGATTATCCCATAGTTCCTTATTGAATAATGGCCATGTTGTGGCTAGCAGCCAGCAGGGCTGCTCCCTTCTTACCAACCTAGCATTTTGTTAGTCCTTTAAAAAAAAAATATTTTGCCCTTCTGCCCTTATTTGCTAGCAGATTGTATGATTGCCTTTTGCACTACAGGAGTGCATACTTTCCCATTTAAAATGACAGAAAACCTGTCCTCTCTGACATGGACACAATTCCGAGTCTGCTTTCTGTGACAACAGGGTGTGTACTGTTACTAATAAAGCATGAGGAGATGCATACAGGGATTCTAGATGTGTGGAAAAGGCCCACAAGTGCTGTTTCTTATTCCTATAAGATGAACCTACTCTTGTTTTCTTTGTCTTTTTCCCCTACCCTTCTCCTATCTCTCATAGCCAATCCTGTTCCAGGAGGACCTAAATGTGTGTATTCCCCATTGCTGGTATTTTGTGTGCTTCACCGCTTCTTCTGACAGACTCAGTCACAGCAAAGGAACACTAGTGCAGCATAAGAAATGACCCCAGCAGCCCAATACACTTGAGGCAGACCATTACTGGGGACAGCCGGCTTTAATAGCTGCCTAGGGCACATATTGAGCCAAACCCCACATTTCTCCTAAATGCAAAGGGGACCACAGCAGGGGCATTAAGTGACAGAACCATATTATGAACCATAAACTGCTCTCAAGGTGCACAGAGTGGCAGTGAGGGGTTGGTTTCTTTAGCTGTGCACTCTCACTAGAAAAAAAAGTTCTTCTCCAAAAATGGCCTTTTCCCCCATGAAGATGTCCAGGCCTGAGACGGCCATGACTGGCCCCTCCCTTCATCTCCGTTAATGGAGAGGATGCATCCCACTCCCACCTAACCTTCATGAAGTGGCTGTAAAAAGATATTTTCTGAGCCTTGATTGACACATGCACCCACAGACCAGAAAAAGCCACAATCTGGAAATGTTCCGGGCCTCGTTGCCTTTGTTGGAGGCCCGGCAGCTCTTCATCTTAGCCGGCCCTTGTTTTTTACCATCTGGATATCCAGTGGCTCTTGCCATATTTCCCTCTCCTTTAAAATACTTTGTGTGGGTTTTGCTCTTGAGACGTCCTTTCTCTATGCTGTAACGGTGTTTCCTGCTGTGTGCGCTGCTGCTGTTGCTGCTTCATGCTGGGACTGGGTCTAATGAAATGTTCTGCCATGGGGAAGGAAACAGCCTACCCAGAAGCACTCAGATATCTGCTTCAGGCAACAGGCGCCCCAAACGTCCCTGATCGTCCTGTTTGACCCTCCTGTTGGGTGTACCCGTTAGGAATGCTGCTGGAAGAGCCCTTCTGCTGGCAGGGCTTGACAAAAGGATCTGGCTTTTGCTGGCATGCTAAAAGGCTCTGCAGCGTGTGCCTTGTGTGTGAGCATTTCAGCCTACGCTCTGGTTAAAGCACCCCTTGAAAGTGCAGTCAGGCAAGCAAGAGTTTTACAGGGTTTGTGTACTATGTTTCTCAGAGATTGCTCAGAATCCATGGACAAAAACCCAGCTAGGGTGACCTTAACCCTCTGCACTTAACCATTTTCCACCTTGTCCCTTTAATCTGCTGGGTATAGTTCAAGAAACTTTATTCTTTTATTAAATAATACAAATATTTAATCTATTTAGATATATGTTGAACTAGTCTTGTCCAATTTCACATGAATCAGGGCTGGCTAACAGTATTATTTGTTTTATGTTTGACAAGGTTTCAAGTGTTGCTAATTTAACAGTTAAGCCCTAGTCACAGATCTAGATTTCTGCTGTTCTTTCCATCCCCAAATTCAGTCAGGAAACAGTGAATGGATATCTACTCTCCCATTATTTACTACCCTGGAGCCCAAGTCCTACCTCTCCATGTTCCAAGAGTTTTAGAGGGTGAATGGTGGTGGAAGTGGAGACTAAACATTTGTTAGTTCTTCAGGGATTCTTAGAAGGTTGTCTTGAAATTGAAGATTTTATAATGGTGAAAGAGATTCTTGCTTGACAGGCTGTACTGGAATCTAGCCAGACTAGGAAGAGATGCTGAATATATAGCTGCAAAGGAAAGAACAAGATCCAAGCCTCATTTCTGGGCTTACAACTGTTTTGCAAGGTCAAGGCTTATCCATTCCTGCAAAATGGTTTACTAAGGAAACCATTCCTCAAATAATCATACATATATTTTAATCTATTTAGCTATATGAAATGTTGAACTAGGAATGTATTTTTTGTTACATTCAAAAGCACGCATAGGAAAGGACCTAGCAAGGAGATGTAGATTTTCTAAAATTCACAGGGTCTTCTGGAGTTCATGAATCTCAGATATATTGGACCTCTTTGATAGTATAAGTTTCATATCTTTGACTAGCATCTATTTCCCTTATCATTTAGAGGGGGAAAATGCAAATAGCAGTTGAAGTAGTGTCCAACTACCAGTCCATTTGGCTTCTGCATGTAGAATGTTGGAAAGGGAGAGAAATATCTTGTCCTTCATCTCAGGCCAAAAGAAACAAGCGGTCTCTGGCTAGTAGGAAAATGTAATGGCTAGGAGAAGCCCTGATCAAGAATGAAGAATATTCCAAAATTCGGGTTTCAGAGACTGTGCAGATATACAGCTTTTGCTTAGAACTCAGAATCTTCCCAGGTAGTGGCCCAGATTGTTGTGCCACCAGACAGACTATAACATCTTAACCAGACTTAGACAAATCTAAAAGGAAATGCCTTTGGGCATTCCTAATAGCCAACCTTCTGCATTGCTGCTTTCTCTGATATTTTGATCAAAGCATGAACTTCTAATGTCTATCTTAGACCATATTAGGAAGAAGCAGTTTCAAACAAAACTTCCAAACAGGACTTTTTTAACCAGCAACTTGGAATTTAAATACAGTTTTCTAAATTCAAGCTGTTATGCTGATTAATCCTGTACTGACACAATGCTAAAAGTTTTGCTGGAAACTATTTTTATTTTTTGCATGAACTTCATAAAACTAATATGTTGTTAACAACAAATGCTAATATTAACAGTTTAAGCTTGGGCAGGAGGAGGTCTTGCACCTATCCTGCCTGAGTGATCCTCTGGGCAATTGGTTTGCCAACATGTGTACTGGGGGCTGGACTAGATGGGCATTGGGTCTTATCCAGCACAGCTTTTCCTGTGTTCTTATGTTCTTAGCTATATGTGAATTCTTCTGTTAGACCCACAAAGATTGTCTATTTTATCTGTTAATATTTGGGCTTCTTTTCTGGATTTTGCATTGTTCAAACAAGTCCAGATTTCAAAACTACAGTAGTTATTAGAATTGATGATGTGACCAATTCATAATATGAAGCAAGAGAAATCTTTGGTGTATTTAACCAGTACTCTCACGTCAAATGATGTGATTTATCACGGACAGTGATACCTGTTCCCTGATCAATTGACTTAGTCTTTAACTGGAAGCTGACTTCTATTTTACATACTATAGCTTGTGTGCAGAACCAGCCAGAAAATGGCAGGATACCTGTACTTTTAGGTATCATGTAATATCTATGAGAGAAATTGATGAAATAATCTTGAGAACTGATAGCCCTGTGTGGAGGGATTAAGCTCAAGAGAAATGTGCAGAGCTGAGCCATGTCAATATTTCAATGGAAAAGAAGGCCTGATGAAATTAATAGAGCAGAGTGAACAATCATTTGAGCAAGAGTCATCCCATGCACTAGTATATAATGAACACTGAGTCAGTGGAGAGAGTTGAGCATTGGATGTTCTAAGGTTTTTGGATCTCCTCCTAATAGGCATAGCCTGCCTATACAAAGTTGCGCTTTGTACTAGTCACATCTAGTAGTGCCAATTTTCCTCCCATCTCTCTGGAGCCACAATAAGCTGCAATTTTGTCTAAGCATTGAATTCATAACTTGCTACAGAGGGCTGCTGTGTTCATCGTTGCCTAGTCTGGAGGTTTGTGATGGTATCAATTCCTAGCCCAATCCTAGAAAGTACACGCAGGATCTTCAGGCAGAAGAGCCTCTTCTAATTTGAACATCCCTTTTCCTTTTCACTTGAGGTTTCCATGTTTCCTCATTAGCTAGTCAGTTTCCTGTTTTTGCTCAGCTTCCCTCTCCTTATTCTTAGCAGGATAGGAAAGGCTAGTTGGCCCAGTCTAGCTAATTCAGCATCCTCATTTGTCATTAATTTCTGAATTTGGCATGCATACGCAAGACACTTGCCCAGATATAGAAAGGAAGTAGTGGAAGGAAAATGTTGTAACAGGTGGAGCTCTTTCTTAGACCCCAGTGTCTTATCTGTTTATTTTAGAGATGTATTCATCTTTGAATATAGTTCCGGGGGTTGCTTCTAAATGTAAAGACACGTTTCGCTCCTGGAAACCCAGCCCTTTGCTTTCTGCATGACCTTCCTGGAGGTTGTCTCTGGTAACGTCTCTCTCCCTTGCCTACAGTGCTAGAGGAGAAGGGCATGATAGTGTAGCCTAGATCTTCAGTATGCTGTCCAGTTCCCCCAAAGCGCTGTTGTATTAGTGCTTAAGAAAAACTGCACAGTGCGTAGAGTGAATGCTCCAGCTCTTGTGGGGATCCTGCCCTGACATCTATAGCTACATTACTGTCTGTGTATCTCTTTGTTGAATTTCTATCTTTCTCCTCATTGCATCATGTTGCTGTTTCCCAACTGCAATTCTTTTCTCTATCTTTTCCTTCCTTCTTCCTGTCTTGTGTCTTTCCCTCTTTCTTCTCCCCTCCTGAACCCCATAGACATGTCCGACTTTGAGAACAATAATGATAACCGTAGAGTGGCAGATATGAGTCAACGCCATGACAATCTCTCCACAGTGACCAATGCCTTGGTTGGAATGAGCCCGTCTTCCTCACTCTCAGCCTTGTCCAGCCGAGCAGCTTCTGTCTCCAGTCTCCATGAACGCATCATGTTTGTACCAGGTAGTGAAGAGGCCATTGAGAGGCTAAAGGTGAGGATCAGGATCATGTGTGCCCACATCACACAGCAGAGAATATGGGAAAAACTCGGGGGAAGGAGTCACCGCAGAAGCACACATAGGTAGTCTTCAGTATGCTGCCAGTATTATAATCCTGGTAAAGTTATGTGGGAAGCAATTTGAAGTAGTGCTGTACTCAAGTTCTTGATCTATTTATTGCAAGTTTGAACCCCAAAGTATGGGAAGGGATAGAAGTTCACATAAAAAGCTCAATTTGCAGTGCTTCAGCACTTACCTTACTGTAAGGAGCTGGCTGAGGATGGTGGGAGTGGTATAGCTGCTTCTTGTTTTATCCTTTCCATCCTCTACTGCCCTTGTAGCCTCTGTGGCTGGTTGAGTGCTCTGATAAGCCTCCTAGACAAACAAACCAGGACTTCTTCCCTGTGCTGCTGTCTGCTGAGTGCCAGAAACCTATGTAGGAGTTGTTCTTGTAGAGGTTCCTCTTCATCTTGTTGTTGAAAAAAAGATTAATAACCACAGCAAACCAGAAATACCTCATTCCTGTTTCAGGCCCTCTGCAGGAAGCAGCACTGGGGAGCCCATGAGTGGGAATTCTGGTTAAGTCCCCTGTGGGGCTTTTCAGAAAGCTCAAGCAGTCAGTGAAGCTACAAGGGCAATAGAGGATAAAAAGGTTAAAACAGAGCACACACAAACCACCTTCTCACCATAAGGTTGGCAGTGAAGCCCTGCACCTCGTGAATTTTCTCCAAAATTTTATTAATATTTTGATAAAACAGGCAGAAGAAAGCCTGCCTTTTTGGAAGAAAAACAAAGAGGTTGTTGCAGCTTAGCACTCTTCTGAAACCACCTGCTAATATCTCACTGACTTGACTTCCATCCACCAAAGCCTGAGCATTGCTTATGCAATTGCCAGGAGTGATAAGTGGGTAACTTTGGAGGGTTGGGAGCTGCTTTGTCCCTGGCTGCTTGGGGAGCTGTGGAAAGCACAATTCTGCAAAGAAGCAGGGTGAGATCCTTGCAAGTCTAGTTTATCTGCAGAAATGGGGATTCTGCTGGGGAGTGCATGCCGTGTTTCTCAGCAGAATCAAATTCCAGTGGTACAGTGGTGGCAGCAATGATGGGAGCAGCAGCACCAGGGGGTGGTCATTGACCCCTCCAAGGAAGCAACATGTGGCCTATGGACCTTGGGTTTCCCAGTCCTTGTTCTGAAGAAACGCAGGTGAGCTCAGCATAATGCATTGCAGGGAAAATATTTATTGCCTAATCAGGTGGCAGCTGTGACCTACTTGTGTTTAACATGTCCTGTGCAGGAAACTGAGAAGATCATTGCTGAGCTGAATGAAACATGGGAAGAAAAGTTGCGTAGAACAGAAGCAATCCGTATGGAGAGGTAGGGATTGAGCTGTGAGGCTCACCTGGTACATTCATAGTGAAAACCTTACTTCTGAGTCCCATGTGGTTTAGAGGATTTTTTTTCACCACAACTTCTTTATTCTTTTGGCAGAGAATGATTAGTCTTAGGTCTGCTCTGTACATGACATGCCTTATGGGGAAACTACACCAGTAGAGTGTTTTACTTTGTGGTTGAGTTTCATGAAGTATGTCCATGCCACTGGGAGTTTTGCTGGTGGCAGTAGCAAGAAAACGCTCCATGAAATACTGGTGGCCAAATATGTATTGCATATTAAAGACATAATCTGGAACAGTCACCCCATGGAGGTTGTTACAGTTTTTAGATTATCCATTTGTGATAACTGATGAGCTGAAGATGCTAGAAATTGTGCACTGGTAAAAGTCACTTAATGCTTAACTTTCCCTTCCCTGGTTAGGAAACTGCACGTCAGATGTTAGAGTGCAAGATGACTCTTCCCCCACCTCTCCTCTAATATGTTCAGCCGGAAACCAAAACATCTCTCAGTTTGCCACGTATAACTTGCTCATAGTACTCGTAGTACCTGCATTTTAATGAGGCATGTGGATGGCCATCCATTGTAATTAGACGGTTTGAAGCTTCCACTTTCTGAGTACTTCTGCATCTTGTGTCATCAGGCCAAGTTCTCAATAGAGTTTTCTGAATCTAGTTTCTTTCTTTTCCTGTATCTCAGGGAGGCTTTACTGGCAGAAATGGGTGTGGCTATGAGAGAAGATGGTGGTACACTGGGGGTCTTCTCACCTAAAAAGGTAGGGCTCTTTTCCTGCTTCCTCTGCAATGCTCAAGTGCAATTTGCAATATGCCAACTATGCAGCATGCTGTCACTTCTGTAATGGCATAGAATTTCTGGTTACCATTTGAACAATTAGAAGTCCCCTTTTCTGTCTTCAAATACTGTTGTACTTATACTTTATCGCTGGCTTACTGCTGCAACTGGTTCTTCATCTGTTGCTGCATAATTTGTACTCACTCAGCAATAGCTCATTATTGCATTACTGTAGTCAACCGTAGCTGAATGCCATTTTCATTGAGCTGCTTGAAAGTGGCAGGATAACTTCTGCCCTCCTGGTTAGTCCTTTTAAAAATCATCATATTCACCAGAACATAAGAATAAAGAATTTGGATCAGACCAAAAAAGTTCATCAGCATCTTGTTTCCCATAGTAGCCAACTGCATGCCTCTGAGAAGCACAGATGCAGGACATGAGGACAATCAACTTTCCTATTGTTGGTCCCAAGCAAATGATATTCAGTGGTGCCAAGCAATTTGGATACATTTAAAGTGGAGGTATCCTTCAGGACAGTCCCCAGAACTCTGCCCCCAAAGAGAGTACAGAAATGCGGGCAGCTGTGTGGGCCAATATTAAACCATTTCTAGCAGTTTTCATATCCACCAGAAGAGGTCTTTCATAAAACTAAGGGATCATAGCTTTCTATTCAACACCAGATCATCCCAAAATATTTTGCTTTACAATAGGGATAGCTCAAAACTGTAAATGGCTGCTGGGGATACCCCCTCATGACACACACACAGCTGCCCCACTGCTGTTTGGATTGCAGCTGAGCTCTTAGAGAACAGAGAAGCCTGTAGGACAGTGGCCAAGGGTGTCATCACTCTACTAATTAGAATGCCACAGCACTTTGACCCTGTGAACCCTGCCCAAGCTACCATTGGACATATATTGCCTCTGAATAATAGTCTTCACAGTTAATAGACCAATCTTCCATGAATGTCTGCAATCCCCAAACAGTCTACTCTTGTTGCTAGACAGCCAAGAATTCTGAATGAGATTCTTTCTTTAGCCCTTGATTTTTTAAAGCAAAGCCAGTTGCTGCTGAAAAGCCAGTTATGTTCTATGTGATCTCCCTCAATGCAGCATAAGAATATAAGAAAAGAACTGCTTGATAGCGCCTTTTCTACTGGTCAGTGTAACTGGACAAGCTATGGGAATAACCACTGTAGAACTGCTTTAATAGTATGCAATAGTTCAGACAAGTGTGTGCTTGGGGGTGGGTGGGTGGAGAGCCAACACACTAGCAACACTAATCATCCAACGTGCCTTAATGCATGTTATGTCTTGATTTGTAAGTTCCCATGATTGTGCTAATGACAGAGGCATATTTGAGTTCTTCTTTCCCTTTTGCTATGTAGCCACCACCAGTTAACCACCAGGATGTTTTTCTGGAAAGTGTAGGGGTTTATTCCCCCAAGAAGGTTGGTCTGGAGAGTTGTGTTGGAATGATCTGTGTGATTTCTTTGAAAAACATGCTAATTCTGTCTTAGATATAGGAAACTTTCTGAATTCTGTCTGCCTTGGCTAGAAAAGCTAGCTTATGAACTCTCTTATAATACATAATATAGATGGGGGAACAACATCACACCATTCACTATGTCTTCTTTGAATTACATAATCTGGGTCATTCTCACAGGTGATGTCATGAGCTTGCGTATTCAACCTTATGACTCTATGCATTCTGGCCAATGCTGCAAGCAGAGTGAGTTGCAGGGTTCCTCTGTTTACCACTCAGCTACAGGGAGGTTCTGCATCATACTTTCTCCTCTTAGTGAAGAAGCCTCAGGCACTGATTGCTCAGTGGCAGGATGACCAAGCTCAGCCGCAGCAGAGGCTCCTGGGTCCTGCTCCTGTCTGTGTTCATGCTTATAAGCAGGGCGGTCAGTCAGCCAATTGTAATGCATTCATTGCCTTGCTTCTGACTGACTGATTCCTTTCTAAAGTGCATTGCTACAGCTTTTCAGTCAAGGTGGTAATTTCCCCACTTTAAGAACAGACACTGAAATAGCAGAACAGTCTGTAAATAAAAATGAATATTTTCCAGTCAGAAATAAAACCAGTAAGGTTGGTAAAGGGGTTTTAAAAAATCAAGATTTTAAAACCCATGACCAAAACTTGTACTCTGTTCATATATAAGTCTCATAAAATATTTAGGACTTCATCAGATCTCAATTGCTCCACAAATTCTGGGTTCCAGAGCCAGCTCTAATTTTGAAGTGGGGTGAAGGCTTAGGAAGCTGCCTGTTACCAGGAGTCCATCTAGCCCAGGAATGCCATCAGTTACTGGTTGTGTCTAGGTTTTTTGGTGGAACCTTGTCCTACCCCTGCTTGGAGATATTGGGGATGGAACCAGGAAACTTCTGCATGCAAAACGGGTGCTTTACCTGTCTATCTAGGGCCTTTTCACAAAGGCAAGGTGCCCTCTGGTGTGCTGTTGCCTCCATAGGCTGTGGCACCATCTTTTCCACTTCTGCCATGTAGGTGGAGACAGATAACGCTGGGGGTGGCTACTTCTGCCATTGCAGCTCACTTGCTTGCTCTCCAGCCAGTTTCAGGGGAACAGCCACTCCTCCTCTTTTCTGAATGGTGGCAGATTGCTGCCTCCAAGCCACCAGAGCAGATGAGCAAGTGAGCAGCAACAATGGCTATTTCATTTACTCAGGTGATGTATTTATTAGTCTGCTTTCAAGATTACAGCCTTCTCAAAATGGCTTAGAAAATAGAATATTCAATATAAAAATACATGTAAACAATTTTAAAACAGACCAGTTAAAATAAAATATAATTTCAAATATCTAATAGCTGCTAAATGTTTCAATTAAATGTCAGATAGAACTTTCTGAAACAGTCACAGATGTAGTCAGCCATATATGTCTTGCTGGGGTGGGTAACTTACGGCCTTTTGGCTGATTTTGGTCTAGAGCTCCTATCAGCTGTAGTCGATACAGCTAATGGAGCAAGATTGTGGAAGTTGTAGGTCAAAACACTTGGAAAGGCATCAGTTCCCTTCCTGATATCTTGGGAAAAAATTCCAAGTGGTGGTGAGGGGGTGTGGGGAGTACCACTAAGAAAGGTTCTAGTATCTCTAGTGTCTTACAAGAACTTACCATCTTTGTGGTGGACCAGTGAGTAGGGCAACCCCTACTGCCCAGCAAATGGTAGGTAAGGAGACATTACTCCTAGATATCATCACTTGTTTGTCAACCTGATGGAGCATGGGACTGATTGGCAGAAGTGGAAGAAGAACGTTTTTTGCATGGTGCATAGACACAAGTAGAAGTCACTGTCACACACAGTAGAATGTTGCAGAGGAGGAGAGCACTGGAGAAGGTCATCTTCTCTCCATTAACCCTAAGAGAGAGGACAGGTGGTGATGGCTGCCCCTCTTCCTTCTCAGCACTGGGAAGCAACAGACTTGCTAGGGTGCAGGGGCCCTGGCAACTGCCTGATAATGCCAGCCCAATTCTGTGTATCAGCTACCTCACAGTACAGCTGTGCAGTATGTCAGTATGCAGGTTTCCTGGGTGGCATGTATTTATTTATCATGTAAGAGGAGCACATAAACTCTGCAGTCCTTGCTATTACAAACCTGGAAGTGCCCAAGGCTCATTTTCACAGGAGAGTGCTTATTTGATAAGCATGAAGTCCTAGCACTTGCATGCGTAAAGGGTCTGCAATCCTCTTTGCATGGTGTTTGGATTGTCGTGGTAGTTGTAATGCTAGTCACTTTTCTGAAAACGATTAAACAGTGGTGATGACAGTAAAGTGCTTTAGCCATTTAATGAAGGGTGAGGTTGATTTGTGGAACTCCAAACAATGGGGAATCACAATTAAGGCTGTGTGAGAGCTTTGCAGTTGTGATGCACAGGAACACAGAAAGCCACCTTAAACTGATTTAGACCAATGGTCCATCCAGGAGTGTTGACATTGGCACATGGGGGCTTTGCCTGGGAAAAGAAGAAGGGTTTAGGATGCAACCTTGTGCCCCATGGACAGCTAGTGAGTCCTTGGAGTTGTAGGCCATTTTTTCTGAGTAAACAAGCACAGAACTGCAACCTGAGTTTCTTTCTCTCCTTTTGTCTTCTTCAGACACCGCATCTAGTCAACCTAAATGAGGATCCATTAATGTCTGAGTGCCTTCTCTACTACATTAAAGATGGACTAACTAGGTAACTAAGGTGGTAACAATCACAACTTTGCCAGGATGAACTCAGGGGACTGACATTGAAAGGGTTTACACCAGCCATTTTGCATTCAGATGCCTCCTTGTAGAGAGAGTAGGCATGACTTACTGAAAACTATCAGAATATTGTTTTATTGTTATATCATTTTAAACATTTATTTATTTAAGAGCTTTATGTTGTATTTTCCATGTAAAATACTGTTCAGTGCAGTTTTAATATATAGCACATTAAAACATACTAAAAGGGCAATAAAACTTGCTTATTAACACCCCAAATCTGTGCCTATAAAACTAGTAGTGAAGAACAAAAACACTGAAGACAAGTGGTCTAAAATCTGCCAGCTGTTGAGAAGCCAGAGAAAAACGACCCTAAGCGATTTCACAGAACAATCTTTACTTTCAGATTCAACTAAGGAAGTTCTGTCATGAAAGCAGACTTCTGCACATAATCACTTGTCACATCAGTAGTAATGAATATCACTCAGATGGACATCTGATTGCAGATTCATAGATTCATAGAATAGTAGGGTCGGAAGGGGACAAGTAAGCCATCAACTCCAACCCCCTGCTTGGTGCAGGATGCCAAGTTACACCAACCCACACAGATGGCTGTCCAGTTTTGACTTGAACATCTCTAGTGTAGGAGAGCCCACAGCCTCTCCTTGTAACTGGTCTCACTGTTGTATTGCTCTGACGGTGAGGAGACCTTTCCTGGTGTCTAGTTTAAATCTGGTGCGCTGCAGTTGTTCTGTGTCCTACAGGGATGTGAGAAGAGATCTTTTCCTTCCTCTTTGTGACAGCCTTTGAGGTACTTAGATGCTGTCTGTCTAAGTAGTGCTGTTTTGGTACAACAGCTCATACTTCAGTATTATTTTTTTTATGCACAGCTAGATCTGGATTGGGACCTGGGTTATTACTTGCTGGACTTCCCTGCAAGAATTTCCAGAGCTGTGGCACTACTTTAAAAGAGGCCCTGCTCCCTCTACTTATAGATATAGAGCAGAAGTGAAATCCCAGAGGTTGATGTTAATGTACCGGGAAGTTTATGTGGGAGACAGGATGGGTGCAACACACTCAAGGCTCTCTATAGAATGAGTAGCACCTTGAATTATGGCTAGAAGCAAACTGGTTCAGTTTAGTTCAGTTTAGCAGTAATTAGTGTATTATGCTGCTCCTGCAATAGCAATCCAATAGATTTCCTCTCTGTTGGGAGCCTGTTAGATTAGACAGGGAACTCTGTTTAGCAGAGCATCGAGAATGTTTTGCAGGTTTGGAAATGTGATCTCTGAATAACATTTTTGCCCTAACAGGGTTGGTCGAGAAGATGCTGAGAGAAGGCAAGACATTGTCCTCAGTGGACACTTCATCAAAGAAGAACACTGCATATTCCGAAGTGACACTAAGGCTGGCAGTGAAGGTATTCCCATACAGAGTGCGTCACAATTCTCAGGGCCCCTTCCCTATCTAGCTAGAACAGAGTTTCTCTAAATCACTGCCGCCCATTCCTGCCAGTGGGGCCTATCTGTATCTCAAATGAGATGGCCATTTATACATTGCTAGAAAAAAGGAGATACACCTACAAAAAAGAGGGAAAAGAGCATTATAGGTGTGCCTAAAAATTACAAGAGGAATTGGTATAGGCTGGTGCAGTGTTCCCTTTAAAGGTTTCCCTGATCTGCCCTTCGCATACACTTGGAACACTCCCTTTTTTTTCAGAGCAGCCATGGTGGTTGAGCATTCCACTGCTGTTTAACAAAGGCTCTCTGCAGTAAACATCGCTCCCTGCCCCTGGAGGGGGAGGTCTGCAGTATACCATGGCTCTTCTGATGTCCTCCTAGGGACCATGAGAATGCACCTGAAATGCTTTACATATTTGGGACTAATGCACTGTAAAGTTGAATCATAGTGTACCAGGTAGCCCATAGGGTTAAACTGGGTAACCTGGGGTTTTCAACAAGCATTACTACTGTCCATCTTTCTAGATTTCTTGGGGAAAAGAAATTGATAATAAATTAGCTGCATAGATGGAGCCTGCCTTTCCAGCAGTAGAAATGCTTTGCAATAAATTGTTAAGGCTCCAATATGTGGCTTCTAATTGTCTAAATCATTCATCCCTGAATCTTTAGTGGATTAAGCCAGCTTTGATTTCATTCATACCTGAAAAAAATCCAAACAACTCCAGTAGAAAGGTATAGATTTGGAGACCCAACAATTATAAAGCCACATGGCTTTATTGGCTTGATATGTGAAGTCTCTGGCATGGTACCTATGGACACCTATCTTGGTACCTGCCATACTCTTTGCCCCTCCTGATATTCATTACATTTATTGAACTATTTGTTAATTCAGGGGCTGGTGTGCTCCAACGCAAAAGCGTATTCTCCAGTTTCATCTTTATTTGGACTCAACAACTTATTTTTGTTTGTTTTGATTCTTATGTCTATCTTGCACTTAATGCTCTTGGGCAAGTTACTTTGCTTTCAATGTTAACAGTTCTTCTGGAAAATGGGTATTTTGTGGCTTGCCATGACCTCATAGCAGCTATTTTATGAATGGGCAAGCCTCACTCCTATGGCAGTCATTTTGTGAAAGTACCTACAGTGTTGTCACAACATTCCAAACATGCAAGTCTTAATGTGTTATAAACTCAATCTTTGACATTTAAGATGTAATGTCTTTCCAAGCTGTCATACAAAATGAAAACTGATATATGTTCAACAATGTTTTCATTTTAAATATTACTGCTCATGAAAGTTTAATCTTGTGTGTATAAGCATGCCATATTGACTCACATAGAGGTCTTGGTTGCTTGTTTGGCAAGTAGACCAGTCATCCAATATTTTAACAAGGTTGAGATAAAGGTCTCTGTCACATGCCATTTTATCTGTCACCCTCTCCCAATTGAACCTGTGTCCTTTCCACAGCAGTGGTGACCCTGGAACCTTGTGAGGGAGCAGACACCTATGTCAATGGCAAGAAAGTAACAGAACCCAGCATCTTAAGATCAGGTAGGTTCATTCTCCAGATTGGGCAATGGAACACAGGAGAAAGATACTTTAAAAAGTTTTCTTGGAGATGATTCAGCTGCTGCTGCTGCTGCACAAGAATAATCATGCTTCTGAGAAGAAGAGTTCATTGTCCTGAATAGAGCAGTGGTTGCATACATGATTTGGAGTGAAGTCATTTGGATTAGGTGGCTTCTAGTTTCCATGCATGTGGACCATCTTTGCCAGCTCAGTAGTTTATCATAGCATCTGCTTAGCAATGGACCAAGCAAGTACAGGATTCTCACCCCACTCCCAGCCCTCTACTAAATATGCCCCCTTTCCCACAGGAAATCGCATAATCATGGGGAAGAGTCATGTATTTCGATTTAACCATCCAGAGCAGGCACGGCAAGAACGGGAGAGGACCCCTTGTGCAGAAACCCCTGCTGAACCAGTAGACTGGGCTTTTGCCCAGAGGGAACTCTTGGAGAAACAAGGCATTGACATGAAGCAAGAGATGGAACAGAGGTGAGTGGAAGAATGAGTGTTCCTGTGCTGGTTTTGATCTATTAAGCCTTACATGATTCAGGACCACAATACCTGATGGAACACTTCTACCAACTTGAACCTACCTGTACAGTAAGTTTATCATCTAAAGTCCTTCTTCAAGTGCCTCCTCCAAGGGAGGCTCAGAAAGTGGCAATAGGGGAGAGGGATTTCTCAGTGGTGGCCCCCCAGATGATGCCGTTATCTTCTCAAGAAGGCCTGCCTGGTGCCAACATTGTTATCTTTATGGCATCAGGTTAAGCCCTTCTCTCAGGCATTTGTCAGCATATGATTAGGTCTTAATCAGGTCTTGTTGGTTGATTACAATTGTTGAAAAATAGCTAGTGTTCTCTGTGTATTCTTTTTCTATGTAGGCTTCAGGAATTGGAGGACCAATACCGGAAGGAAAGGGAAGAGGCTAATTATCTTCTGGAGCAGCAAAGACTTGTAAGTAATAAAGGGGTTACTTTTTGCTCACTTTACCTCAGCAGGTACGAATAGACAGGCTCAGTGTGCTTGACAGATTTTGATACAATTACTTTCAAGTTTGATAGAATTATTTTGATATAATTATTTTCATTGCAAGAGGGTCAGTAACTTGGATTTGTCAGTCTCTGCTCTTCCACAGGTACAATTCTTACACAATTTCATGAATCAGATTTGTTAAAGGCCAAAAACTTTGCATAATTGTTGTCATCTAACAAAACTGGAAGTGTTCTCAAATATTATATGTAACTTCTTGTGATTCTCATGAAATTATAGGTGGCTAAACTGAAATGGTGGTTATTAAGGAAAAGGAAGGATTGGTTGGCTACAGGGAATGGAGTCATTTCTCAGTTTTACATAGAATTAAAATACAGCAGGCATAAGAAAGACGATGCAGGTCTTGACTGCTCATCTGCTTGCTTTTTTTAGGATTATGAAAGTAAATTGGAGGCTTTACAGAAGCAGATGGACTCAAGATACTACCCAGAGGCTAATGAAGAAGAAGAGGAACCAGAGGATGAAGGTAAGAATTCATTAAAAGGGAGATGCTGAGGCATGTGGTGACGGCATATAAACGTTTTAAATAAATAAATAAATAATCAAGTACTAGGGATAATAACAACAGAAACAATATACATATAAAAGGAATAGTATTTCTGAGAAAATGTTAGAGATTAATGTTTATATTAATGTTCCATTGTTATAGTAAGGTGAGTCAAGGTGAGTAAATAAGTTAAAGAACCACAATTTAGCAGAAATTTTCAATGAATTCTAATTGAATTTTCAAAAATGTGATTGGAGCAGAAAGGATGATAGCCATTGACTGAGAGCAACAACTTGTTTCTTTTCATTCATTCATTTTTAAGGAATTTTTACCTTATCCTTTACATAAAGTGATAGTCAACTTTACCTGCAGTGATTGGTGTTCTGCTACAAACACATAATTACAAAGCAATGGTGATTTTGAATTGTTCATTTAATATACATGGAAGCATTAAAAAGGTAGAAAATCTTTTCCTTAAAAATGCATTACACATTTGCTTTAAGGAAAAAAAAATCATGCCATCAATCTCACCATTATGGCCAATTACTGAATTAGAAGGATTTCCATCAAATTTGAGAGAAATTTTAGGAGAAAAAAACATATATTCTATGTCCTGATGGTGGGGGGCACAATATTTTAAAGAACTATTTTCATTGTATGTTTAATTGTATATGTTTTATTTTAGATGTAGTGTTATTTTGGTTGTATTTTAGAGTGAAAATTAATTTACAAAAAATGAAATACATGGAAGCAATGAATGGGAAAGGATCAGGCCTCTGCTTCCATATATTTTAGGGATGAATAACCACTGAATGACATTCAAGTATCACATATTGTGCATTGTGCTGAGGCAGGGATGTGTAAGGAACCCATTTTGAGGGTGAGAATCCATTGGATTTTCTGCACGAGCTCCCTGGACCCTACTCTGCTTACTCATGGCTCTGAGTTTGACTTCCTGGCAAGCACACTGAGACCCAGGAAGTGAACCTCCATAAATGCTGTGCATGCACTGTACCTCTTCCGTGCACATGACCTGCAGCCTTTGCTTGCACTGTACCTGCTTCAGAAGAAGGTTCCTGGTCAGGCAACTAGGATTCCTTAAGCATTTGTGGATTCTGCTCTGCTCCCTTCTAAGCAAAGGCCAAGTATGAGAAGAATTCTGACAGACTGAAGAGGGCCAGATTCTGGGGAGGATCATCACAAATCTATGCTGAGGAATACAGAAAGGAATCCCATGTAACTCATACACAGGGTATTAATCCAATGCCACAAGCTTAACTTTAAAGGCACCCACCTGTTTATATCCTGTGAAAAAATATTAATTAGCTCATTCAGTTTTAGCTTAATAATTTGTGGTATATCGCTAGGAATAAGTATCCCCAATAAATCGCTGAATCAGGGGACCACCAAAATAGCTAACTGGCTAATATTGGCATCACTTTGGACTTTGGCCAATTATTGAAAAACTGCAGTTTTCCAAAATCCATGATCGACTCTGTCAAAGTGGAAATGGTTACATGGAGTTGTGAAATAAATATCAAATCATCTGTGTAAAGGTTAATTTTTAATTCTAAAGAATTATGAAGAAAGCCGTTTTAAGAACATTTGTTTAAGAAAAAGAATGGTGTGAGCTATAAGCAAGGACTTGTTTTTTGAAGGGAGTGATCTTGTGGAGTCTTTTATCTCACCAGTTCAGTGGACGGAACGGGAGTTTGAGTTGGCACTCTGGGCCTTCAGGAAGTGGAAATGGTACCAATTTACTTCCCTCCGGGATCAACTGTGGGGCAATGCCATTTTCTTAAAAGAGGCCAATGCCATCAGTGTGGAGTTGAAGAAGAAGGTGAGCACTTTCTCTCACAGCCACTAAGGATGATGGGTTATTTTTAACTCTTGGTTGGATGAAATAGTCTGTCAGATAGATGAAGCCTTCTTGATACACAGCATGTATAACAATATGCATTTATTATAGAAGATAGTACAGTGGTGTGCAGTGAGTAAGAAGATGGGTGTAGTAGGGGTGTCGAACCTTTTTTACTTTTGGAGATGTGCTTGAGGCCACATTCCAGTGGTGAATGAGACCCTCTACAAAACATGGTGGTGCCAAAAAGCCAAAAATTCCAGCATGTTGCAATTTGAAGCTCTGAGTGCCAAGAGCTAAGACTCAAATGAGGCATTTCCACTTTTCAGAATGGGGAAGAATATACAAAAGCCAGGAAAATACCAAACTATGCGCAGTGAGGAAAAGGGCATAGTCACTGGAGGACCCCAGAGAGCCAGATACAGATCCCAGGCAGGCTCAGACCTGGGTTTATACATCATTGGAATATAGGATTTTTAAAATTCCCCCCAATAATAGTATGTCACCCTATAAGCTTGATTGGCAATCTGTTTAGGGGAGACAAATGAAGAGCTTGCTTCTGTACACCATACTTACCTACCATCCGCAGCTTGCTGCTACATAATGTGTGCTGATCATTGCTAGGTTGGATGGTATTTTAAAAGAGTTAAATGGGTTAATTGAGAATAGGCCCATCAGTAGCCATTAGCTATGAAATGGAACCTCAGTGTGTAAAGCCAGAATACATTTGATGCCCAATAGAAAACACTGCAAATAGATCATCACCTCTATAGTGTGCTTGTGAATGTCCAGAAACGTTTAACTGGCTGTAATTGGAAAGAGAACACCAATTAGTTGGACTTTGGTTTGATCCAACACGGGAATTCTCATGCTCTTGTTATTTTTAACTGTTGTGCTGTCCTCCAATACCATATCTGTTTGGGTTCAGAAGAGTTGTTTTGTATTTTGGAGTTCAAGCCCCACCTCAGTCTTTCAGTTAGGTTCTCAGCAAGCCACTTTCCTTTAGTCTGGCCAGTTTGCCTTTTAGAAAATGGGGTTTGGTTTTTTTTTACTCCCCATGCTCCCCACAGTAGCCATTTTGTGCAAGTTTCTATTACATAGAAACAGAGCGAGTCAGAAGGGTCCTCGCAGGCCATCTAGTCTGACCCCCAGCTCCAACCGGCTCCACTTATGACATGTCTACCATGTGCATTGCCCAGCCTATCCTTGAACACCCGCACCGATGGGGCTTCAGCCACCTCCTGTGGAAGCCCATTCCATGTCCTAGGGGACCTAACTGTCAGGAAGTACTTCCTGGCATCCAAACTGAACCTTGGTTTCCGGAGCTTCGCTCTGTTGGAAAGCGTCCTGCCCTTCTCTGCAGGGGAAAACAGGTCTCTACTCACCTCTGTGTGACACTGCCTCACATAATTATATGTGGCCAAGACATCCCCTCGAAGTCTGCTCATCCCCAGGCTGAAAAGACCCAGTTCCCTCAGTCTCGCCTCATACCCCATCCCTTGCAAACCGGCCACCAACCTTGTGGCCCTGCACTGTACCAGTTCTAGGAGGGACTTAGAACAAAAGCAGTAGATATTCACAGACAAGCCTTTACCATCTTTAGGGGAGGTCTTTCTCTTGGTACCACTGCTTCAGAGGCAGGTTTGGTGGTAATGCAAGAGAGAGTCTACTCCAGGAGTGGGCAATTAATTTTCCTATGGGGCCACATGAGAAACTTTGACAGTTGTTAAGGGCCGGACCAATACACTTACAGCTCTGCTCAATATATATCTCTATAAAAACAGTAAATGAAACATTACAATGATACAATGAAAATGTGGAGCACAGAACAACACTATTAAATGAATATTCACAAAAACATTAATATTACATGAAAAGCAATAAATTCAATTCAATTTAGCAGATCCTTCAAAATAAAAGCAGTGCAGTTGTATTGCTTGCATATATATTTCGACGATATATATTTGCATTGACTTTTAATTTGCCAGTGACCTCATGCGGGCCTGTCAGGATCAGCCATCGGGCCGGATGTGGCCCGCAGGCCGTACAATGCCCAGGTCTGATCTACTCCCAGCCTATGACACCATGGGGGCCTAGATTTCTTGGTTGTTAAATTTGTCAGGGGCTAGTGTGTGTTTCTATACAAACCATTTTTATGTTAACTACACAATAGTATGTTGAGGTTTTTAATCTTTGTCATGCACCCAGATTACTTTGGCTATTGGGTGATGAAGAACTATAATATATAAAATCTACCCCTCTCAAATGCATTGGTTATATATTTGTTTATTTGATTACATGAAGATTAAGATTTTTTTTTTGCAGAAAGCATCTATAGTATAAAATGGTGTGACTACAGTTGAGTTGGATGCAACTGCTAAAGGAGAATGCATATTTAGGGTTCTTGTGAAAACACGATCACTTGCATGCCATAGCAGAGAACAGACTGCCCCAAATAGCGTGCTCTGTGTGTGAAGCGATACTAACCAGCAACACTCATCATTCCCTTCCAGGTTCAATTTCAGTTTGTACTCCTCACGGACACCCTGTACTCACCTCTTCCTCCGGACTTGCTTCCTCCGGATGCTGCTAAAGAACGTGAGAAACGTCCTTTCCCAAGGACCATTGTAGCAGTGGAGGTGCAGGACCAGAAGAATGGAGCAACCCATTACTGGACTCTGGAGAAACTCAGGTAAGCAGAAACATCTTAGTTGTACAACGAGGGCCTGGCTGGATGATCGAGAGGCAGGGGAGCTTTGATCACCCTGAAGAAAGGTGACACAGGACATGGAATTATCATTTGACAATGTTGCAAGCCTTCTTACAGGACAGTGGTGCAACAGTCAAGGGTATTCAACTGTAAGCATGTGTTTATCTGATCTTATGAGATGATTTGAGGGACTGGTTACATGACAGTCTCGGTGGATCATCCAGCAAAGTGGGTTGAGTATGGAAATGGGGTTATGACTTGTGGGCACATCTGTGCATGATGTCCAAAGTATATCCCTTCCCAATACTACCATGGATAGCAGGACTTTTCTATCACACGGTCAAAAGATGTTTTCACTTGCAGTCTCTGTGATTTAGGATGACAGCATTAGCCGATGTTGCTCCTTGACCCCATGTGAAGCTCTCATATGATCTTTTTGACTTGAGTGCCACTTATCTACATGTTGACTAGTTTATCATGTGGACTGAAACTTGTGCATGACAGAGGAGCCATACTTCCATCAGCTCTCAGCATGTTGAATGACAGCCACTAGTGTCCACAAAGAGAAGTCCTTGCTATAAACTCTGTATGAATAAGGCTTCCTCTCCTGGAGCTTTTGAGGGCTTTCCTTTTTTTTTAACTTGCCCCTAACAAGAATGTAGAATTTTCCCTATGGATAAGTGTGTGTCTAGAATTTAGAACAAGATTCAGCACTAGCTTCTAAGAGTATACAGGTAAGATAGAATTGTGGCTGGAAGTCCTCTGGTGAAGAGTTACTCAGCCACCATTATGAGAATTAATTTGTCTTCTCTGCCATTCCAGACAGAGGTTGGACCTGATGCGGGAGATGTATGACCGGGCAGCTGAAGTGCCCTCTAGTGTTATTGAAGACTGTGACAATGTGGTGACAGGCGGAGACCCCTTTTATGACCGCTTCCCTTGGTTCAGGCTGGTCGGCAGGTGAGAGCTTTGATCTGCCTTTGCTGAAATTTCATACCAAACCAAAGAGGCCCAAAGGAAGGAAATGGTCCGTGGATAGGTGCTGTGCAATACTTGTGCTCCTTCCAAAGTGGGGCAGAGATTGTCATGCATCTGGAGGTTTAATCACACATCAACACAACTGTGTAGCATCTCACTCTTTGTAGTGATCTTTATCCGCCCTCCAGGTGTATGTAGCCGAGTGGCTCGTTTCCCACTTACATCATTGCAGGGGCTTTTTCACTGTGAGCTGTACACGCATGTGTGCAGGCACACATGCACACACACGCACACACAGCCTTTCACAAAGTTATGCCTGACATGCAAATTCACAGTGTCCATATTATGCTCCTTTTTGCAACACTGTCACTGATGGCTGCAGTTTCCTACAGCAAGGTCAAAAGAGGTTTTTATACTCTGTCCACAATGTATAGGCTTATACAAACTAAGCTGCAGCCCTTTGAGTTCATGGGAACTATCGCAAACAGATGCCATGGGACTGTTACCACCCATCTCTACCATATTTCTAGAATATCCTGCTGACTGGCTCATACTACTATGCTCTTGGTCTGAAAAAATTCTTACAGAGTGAGATGCAGCTAAGAAACCCTGCTGTAGGATGTGTACATTTGTGTGTGTGTTGTGTGCAGTGTGACTATCTGCCTATATACTACCCAGTATATACTGTGTGTTCTCATGTGCTTTCCATGCAACTAGTAGAAAAAAACTGTGATGCCATCAGCTGAGAATTGTCAGAGACCAGTGGAAAGGCTCTGCTGTTGAATTTTGACATATTTGAGTGCATCTGAATTGTGATCCATTCCATTTCAAGGATTTGCAGTGAATTGTCTCCCCTAACCCGTGCGGGGAGAAGCAGCTTATGATGGAAAAGTGCACGTTTGTTCCACTGAGGACAGTTGGGGGATTCCCATCAAATGTATTGGATCTTCACAGTTTTCAGCTGATGGTGTTTGTCGCTCCTCTGTTAGACGTCTCTGGTCTGGGAGGTTTTCCATCTCTTCCCCTCCTTATTAACACTGCCGCTTGGTTTAAAAGAGCGGGCAAAGCAAGCCTAATCTCTCTCTCTCTCTCTCTATGTGTGTGTGTTTGGAATAGCTGGTGTTAACCTGTCTCCTATCTTGTTGTACTAACCTTAGTTCAGATATCTCTGGCTGCAACAGCTCTCCTATTTTCAACACATGCATGAGCGAGCGCATGGCTGATCTCACCCCCTCCCCCACCTTCTCGAACCCCGACTCCGACATCACCGAGCCTGCTGACGAGCAGCACGTGGGGAAGGAGGAGGAGGAGGAGGACCTGGAGGAAGACATCTTTCCGGAGTACCCGCTGTATGATGGCCAGGATCCATTTTACGACCGCTCCCCCCTGTTCAGTTTAGTAGGAAGGTTGGTGAGGTCTTAGGAGAGCATGCTGGGAAGGAACTAGCTCTTTCGCATAAGAGACCTGCTTTCCCATGTTGAGGCATTCAGGGAGAGGTGAGCATGAAGAAGGTTGAGAGAGAAGGGCAAAATATGTCTGAGCATCTATCTATATTTATATAAATCTCTATGAAAAGAGGAATAAACTTCACAGTGAGACGACTGGCTGTATGAAAGAAAGAAGAGGGTATTTGCTAGAAAGACAAGACATTCCCAATTGGGATCACAGAACCTGGTAAGCCACCAAAGTTGGGATCTGCATAGTATCTTGAATTTAATTCAGTTCTTTGTTGATTCTGGTGCAGGAGGTAGAGAGTGTTTTAAAATGTATCTCTAAAATAAAGGAAGCCTGGATGTTTTTCCAAAGAGAAAAATGGTTGATAGCATAACTGAGATTAAGAAACAAGGGAACCCTGAAAGCATGCATAAAAAACTAGGCAAGGACCTCTTGCATGCATTGGGTAATAGTACAAGGCTGGAATTTGGGAGATTTAACTTTGGCAAAGGATAGAATTTAGGATTTCAGCAAGCAGCAGCAGTGGGGTACAGGTTAGTTTCTGAGTATAAATTCCAGGACATGTTTGGAAGAACTTTTGCTATTTATATGGCTATCTAGTGTTCTTTATAGAGCCAATGCTACTTGTTTTAGCTGACCTGCTTCCTAAGGGAACAAAGGTTTTCTGCTACTTTGCAGATTAGAAAAGACAGGCTATGGAGAGTAATTATTCCGACAAAGAAAATCTAGCCAGTTACCATTTCTAAATATGGCAGTGAATTTCCTTGCTGTCTTAGGAGTGCAAAATGAGTTTGCCGATAAGAAACGCTGATTGCCCACAACATCATTCCCTTTGTTTGTGAAAGCGGATGTTGGCATTTCTGCATACCCTATGCCAGCAAAGAGTCACAGTACTACCAATGGATCTTCATCTCTGCCAAAGACTTGGCTGGGGTCCTTGAAAAATCCTTATTCACTTTGCTGAGAGAAAACGAAGTATTTCTCTCTTGTTATCCGCAAATCTTTGTCCTTCATGGGCCCACATTCATAAACATGTGCCTCAGCAGCACTTTATACCAGGATCAATTTCAACTTTGGATTATAATACAGGAAGTTCTTTCCTTGGTGTCCATGCTAGGGAGGATATGCAGAAAAGGAGCATTTGTACTTTTAATAGTTATACGAAAGAGGAAATTTCAGTAGGTTTCTCTCTTGTCATGAAAGCTATGCATGCTGAAATTCCCTTTTTCTACAACTTTTTATACAAAGGTGCAGAAGCCCTATCCATCGTTGTACCTCCCTATTCTAGTTCAGACAAGGAGTCTTGTCCTCTAGTTTCCCTACCTTTGAGTAGGATTCAGGAAAATGGGAGCAAGCAAGGGAGGAAAAGGGCCTAGAATAAAGCAGAGATGGGTGAAGAGTCCTGCAGTCTCCGACCGAAAGAGCTGGCTTCTTCCTTTTTTTTTTCTTTTTTTTTCTCCTCTTGGGGGATTTGAGATTTTAAATCAACAAACAGGCCAAACTACCAAATAGCTCAATGAGGGAACACCCTCTCCCCCAATCATGTGAACTGTTCTTGGGGGTCTTTTGAGTCAGACAAAACTGACTCCTCCCATGCAGCAGCTGTGCCGTTCACATTTCTCGTGAAGTGTGCTTTGATTGGATCTTTGTCTTTGATTTTTTTCTTTTTCTTTCTTTATTATTATTATTATTTTAGCTGCTGGCTCTATCTCCAAAGCTTTAGCAAAATTGGGGGGTTATTTCACTTTTGTCTTCCTTTTGAAAGGCTTTTCTTTGGTCTGAGCATGCCATCTTTGCACCTCACCAATCTTGTGGTTAGTGCCTCTATCCTACTCTATTCCTTTAATGACACACAGGCTCTTTCTTTTATCCAACCCCCTACCTCTTTGTCTGTTCCTGCCCTCCCTGCCCTTTCCCCCTTTCTTCTTTTTCCTGCTTCTGTTTCTCAACCTCTCCAGCTCCCCAACTTCTTCACCTTTCAGTTTTCTGAATTTCAGGCCTGTTTCATAATATGCCTTGAACATACTGGCTCTCCTATAGAAGTAAATCCTGAGCTGCTTCTTAGACATCCAATATCAAAATAGATGTTGAAAATCATGCTGGAGAAAAGAGAAGTTATTTGTTAAGGTGATATAATCTGTGTCCTTTCAGAACATCTACTGCTGTCTCTGGACATTGAGATGATTTGCAGGTCTAGGAAATTAACAGCAATACATTAATTAGCTTTTGTTGTTCTCTTTCTCTAACAAGGAAGTGTTATGTAAGAGTTCTACATTTAGTAAAAGAAAAAGCTGAAACACAGAACATGACAACCTGTGGTGGCTTATTTATTTAACCCACAGTAAGGCTGTGGGGTGTGGCAGGTTGCCATTTTGAATATCCATTTTCCACTTGGGCTTTTTCTATCATGCAAACCTGGCAGCACTGGCTATATGAAAGTTAAACAATCCTCACAGAACCCTAGAACAGACTATGGATTATATAAGGGCTGTCTAACCCTTTCTCAGTGCCCCCCTCCCCCTGCATCTATGGAATAACCTTCCCACTGCAGCCCAGCTGGCACCAAACCTGTCATCTTTTCAGTGCCGGGTTAAGATAGCTTTCTTTCCAGGCACTTTTAAAGACTTAGCCAGCCAGGGGCTTGAGGGGGATCGCCAGATATTTCATAGAGTCACTCTTTCGTTATTTCTTTTTGTTTCTATCATCTGTTTTAGCTTTTTAAAACGTTTAAAATGCAGATTTTTAAAACACAGGCTGAAATTCTGTGTGTTCAGATAGAAAAACATCCTATAGTCCCCAACCATGTGTTTTTCCTGTCTAAACACACAGAAGACTGTGCTATTAAAAGTGTTATTTCACAGGGATTTGAGCTTCATAACACAGTCCTATGCCTGCCTGTTCTAAATTAACTCAGTGGGACTTTTTCTTAGGCAGCATTGCAGCCTTAATCACCTCTAGACAGAATTCTGTATAAGGTAAGAGAGATCAAGATAATTAGTAGTGCATTCACACTCCTTCCCATAGATCTGGCAATCACCAATATACTTCAGTACAAAGTCTTGCCTTCTCCAAACACAGAGCAATTTCATTGGCTAGTCATCAGTTGATTGGCTCAAAAACAACTTTTGTAAATTTCTACCTTGCTTGCAGTTTTTTATAAATTGTTTGATACACTTAAGAGTGATTTTTGAGAATGCACCCATTATCTTTTAACAATCCTTCTGAACACGAATACTGTTTATGAGTATACAATGAGCTGATGATATATGTTCACAAGACTGAAGGTGATAACTTATATGGGAACTTTTCAAAATTGCAAAGAACACACAGATGCATTTGTCAGTCACATTAAAACCTGGATCTGATACAATCTGATTTTTAAAATTATTCTTATGAGCATGGATTTATGTAAGTTGGAGAGAAACTCCTTTTAGTTATGAATGTCACTGAAACACGTTAATTTTTTAAAAGTTGTAAATTTTTGCTAAAACCAAATCATTGACCATTACCTTATATGTATGTTTAAAAAGGAAGTGTGTGGCTCAGTTTGCACATCATAACAGCCTGTTTTTAAAATCCTGGCTTGTTATGAATAAGTAAGCACGCTGATGCATGTCACCAGATCGTTCCTTCTGCAAAATCCTGAGTTGGTTGCCATGGCACACAAACCTGGAACTCTGGCTTGTTTATCTCCCATGAAGCATTAGTGTGGCCTTGTCTCACCTGTGTTGTGCCTCTCTTGGAAAAACCACACTAGCTGCCAGTAAGCCACTGATCCGTGTTTAAGGAGCTGTCATCAACATAGCCCTAACCGGGGACTATCTCACTTCTTATGCGCCACCCAGTTCTAGAACCTGTCAGCAACAATTCAAATAAAGTTTTTAAAAGTACTGAGCAAAACAAAAATTGGTACTTAGGGATTTTCCATTTATGGGTTCTCTAGATGATGATGCTGTGTCATATGGGTGCTTTCAGTTAGTTTATTTAGAGAGAAAGTACTTTATTTAATTGTGAAAGTCAAAAGTCCAATTTTAAACATGTGTACTAGTGCTATTCTGTTATGTCACAGCACCATGTAGAGATTATGTGGCCAAAATGCAAGAAAGGAAGTGCTTTGTATAGTGCTTAGATTTTGATTCGGCAATGAAACTGAAACTTCATATAGAGGATTAACAGCCACTTAATAGTTTCATGTAAAAAAATTCTTAAGGCATCCCCTGCAAGAGTGGGGAACAGGAATTGACTCAGTAGCATTTATACTTGGGGGAAAACAGAAAATACTTGATTATATTGAAAATACTTGATTATATTGAAAAAGAAACTGCAGTTGTATTTTGCTGCACTGGACAGGCTGATGCTGTACTTGCATTTTAATTAATTTTAAAAATTTATTTATTTAAAACCTTTCTATACCGACCCATACTTAGACGTCTTGGGATGGTTTACAACAAATTAATCCTAAAAATAGAAATAAAAATAAAAGTTGCCTAGAATCCAATGTTAAAATATAAACCCACTAACTAAAACAAGTTAACAATTAAAATACTGGGAGAATAAAGGTTTTCGCCTGATGCCGAAAGGAAAGAAGCGTTGGTGCCAGGTGGACCTCAAAGCAGGTCTTTCTAAAAGTTGCAGAAAAAACAGACTTCTGGGTTACCATAAATGTTAGCTAGATTGTTGCTAAAAATGGAAGAATTCATGAAATCATTGTCTGGAAAAAGGTGTGACAGCATAGTTATTTATTATTTATTTATTTAAAACATTTCTATGCCGTCCCCATCGCAACAAAGCCTCGGGGCAGCTCACAACATAATTAAAATATATAAATAACAGTTAGTACATTAAAATTCATTAAAAACTTGGTAACATCTCGGCATAAAATTTAAAATCCTAAAATACTTAATAAATTAACAATTAAAATAAGTTTTAAATAAAAAGGTCTTAGCCTGGTGCTGAAAAACAAAAAACATACTAGGCTCACATCATTGATTAGAAGCAAACCAAGTCTTGTAGCACTCAGGATAGCATACAACATAGCAAGTTGGATTCAGTTTATACTGGATGAACTGTGCTGGCAGAAATGGGCTTTCCTGAGTCCTTCTCGACACAGCTGCTCACAAGCTCTCTGAACATGCTAGACAGAAGTAGAAGGCCTTGCTGAATGGGGTGAGTTATACTGTGAATGGAGAGGGTAGATCTCCCCAAAGCAGGTAGAGCCCTTCCTTTCACAGAAGGCTGATTCTGGATTTAACACCCAAAATGTTAAAAAATTGAACATAGCCTTTCTTTTAAAAATGCAACAGGCAATGGAACACTGAGCAATGCATCAGTATTCTGGCAACTTAACAGAACAAATGCCTTCCAGAGCAAGAATGACTCAAACTAGTGTCAGAAAGCAACAGACCCAAGGAGCTTCCGGGGCATTTTAACCCAGCCTTCCCAATTTGGTGCCCTCTAGGTGTGTTGAACTACAAAGCCCATCATCCACAGAAAAATATGCATTGCCTAGACTGGCTGGGTGTGATGCAGAGTTATATTAGTTATTAGTTACATGTATAGATTGCCCCATAGCCTGCAGGCTCTCTGGGCAGTTTACAATTATTAAAATTATATATGCATTCAATAAATATTCATGTTACATAAAAATAAAACCATAAAACAACCTAACAGGACAACAACACAACCCTAATAAGCAATATTTAAAACATCATTATAGATCTATTAAAATAACTGCAAAATAAATTTTTTCACCTGGAGCTAAAAGAAAGCAAGGATGGTGGCAAGTATACATCTCTGGGGAGCATATTCCAGTGATGGGGTGTCACTACTGAAAAAGTCCTTCTCCTGGTTGTTCCTTTCCCCCTTACTTCTTTAGAGGGTGTCCTAAGAAGGACTTTGGTGGATGATCTTAAAGGTCGAATAGGAACATACGGGACAAGGAACATATCTTATAATAATAATATGGAGCACATCAAATTAGGAAAGCTGCTCTGGCCCATGTTCTTTCTTTTCTCTTTCAGGTTTGATCATTAGCAAAATTCAGATGCTATATGGGATGCTTAAAGCCTCATATGCAAGAATATTCTTGGGACTAGCTTATATAAACACACAAACATTTTCTTACCTTCTCTGGCCCACCTGAGTTTTGATCATTTGTATTAAAGCATACATGTAAATGTCTCATTGTCCCAATTTTGAGTGCTCCTAATTTTCGGAAGGTCCTCATACAAAGTTAGGCATTTTCAGCTTCTCTCTTGTATTTCTCCCTTTGAATAAATGTTCATTTTCCAGTAGAACTGTAATAGTTTGCCCCATCTTGCTTTGCAGCTTAATATTAGAAACAGCTCAATTATAATAGACCACTGAATCTGAACTAAGCTGTTTGGGTGTCTCTGTGGTCCATAAGTACTAACAACTGTTCTCTTTAACTGGATGCTGAAATTTAGTGGCACCAAATGCTACAATATAGACTATTTACAATATTATAAAATACCAACCAAATGGAGAAGAGTTAAAAGCAAAACCTATAAATGTCTGTTCCAAAGTGCTGATGACCAAGGGAAAGTTTTAAAAGCCACATATATTGTTTGGGTAAACTCATCAAAGATTCTATTCATATGAAAGGTACTGGATAGTGCATGGATAATGTCATTATACTGCTTAGTCACTAGGTGGCACTGGACTTGGTGGCTCAGGCATTTCTGCTCTTGTGTGAGAAAGCCATTAAACTTCTGGACTGGTTTGTGCAGTAAGCCCTTCATGACAAATACTTTCCCGATAGAGGGAGCAATGTTAATTTTGCTTATGGATTTATTACAAGGTTCCCAAGTAGTTGAGGAATGATCAATCTGAGGCTTGGATGAAACTAGCTGCAGCATAGTATGCTCTATAGGGACTTGTTTTCTTCCTATGCAGTTAGTTTAACTAGATGAAGAGCTCCTTTGACTCAGGCTTGTAATTCAGCTCAATTTGTTTCTCATTTTCTGGAGGATATTTCCCTCTAGAAAGGGCCTGTCTCCCAACATCCTTCCTGTTTTTCTCTCCCTCTGTGCTCTTCCTGCCTAACTCCCCTATCTTTGTTTCCCTGCTCTAATATCCTCTTTCCCCTCTTTTCTGTCCCTTTTGCCCCACCGTTACTTAGCAGCAGGGGCTTGGATGAATTACAGCACCCAGGGTACTAGTTGCCTAGTCTCTCCTGCCACAGGTCCTTTTTCTAGTTTTCTTCTTGCACCAGCACAACCCCCCTCCCCTCCCGTCGGCCACGGGAGATGACAGAGCAAGAGGTACGCTATGCTAGCGCTCACTAACTCACTACACTTTCGCTTCACTGCTCAGTACAGGAACTCTGTTCTAAGCACGCTGAATCCCCCTCTCTGTCCGGCTGGCCATGGCTGCCTTTCTTTAGTTTTGCTTTGCAGCACCATGTTGTGATGTGAGCGGTGAACTGTGGTCCCAGCTACCATCGGCTATGGAGTATGTTTGGAGTAGCTCATATGTGAGACGCAGTGACCACTCTCCTTATCTTGCTTTTACTTCCAGAGCTTTTGTGTATCTCAGCAACCTGCTGTATCCTGTTCCTCTGGTCCACCGTGTTGCCATTGTCAGCGAAAAAGGGGAAGTGAAAGGTTTCTTGCGTGTGGCAGTTCAGGCCATCTCAGGTAAGAGGTGGGAAGGTCATGGACGGGGGAAATTCTAACCTTCCCCACTGGCATCCTCCAAATATGTTAGAATGCAGCTCCCATCCCTGTCTGCCACCATGACCAATCGCAGTCCAGCACCTCTGCAGGATGCCAGGTTGTGGGAGGCTGTTCTAGGTGCTCTTTTCTGTAGTGTCTCTCTGCTCCTGGTAAGCAGTTCTTCATCTTCTTCTGAAATGGGGAAGGGAGCAAAAGAGCCTACTGGTCAGAATGAGCAACTGAGGTACATAACGAGGGGGATGAGGGTTTTCCCTAAATATCTGTTGTTGACTTTGGGGAAGGGATGCTAAAGAGTCCTTTGAGACCATTCACACATATATGTACATTGTTTGACTATTCAGCATTCGATGGGTCACAACTAGTGTGCGAATTGACTCAGTTGAAAAGCATTGTGCTTGAGGTGATCTGTGCTGGTTTGTTCATACATGCAGCTCAACACTAGTCGTTGATTCATAAAGTAGTGAACATGTGTGTGACTCACCTTTGTATTTCAGCTAGTTTGGAGGAAAGCTGCTCAGCTGCATACACCTTTGGTGTTTGAGTCAGTTAGGGAGCTCCTGGGGATGAGCTTGTTTGCTGGGTTGCTGGTCACCTATCTTTTCCTTGTGTTGCAGTTTAGATACTTCAGAGAAGTAACTGCTACCCAGATTAGTACTCTCTCAGTCCTTCGGTGTACAGTACATGTAAGCCATGTGGTTGCCATCAAAAACTGCTTCTGTATAGCGGGAATTCATGTGTGTGTGAGAATTACACTAGTCTGAGGCAGGGAAAACAGCTTTGCTAAAGCTTAGTGTGAACCTGAAATGCATGGCAACCACCACCACCAGTACTCTGTCATCAAAATTGCCATTTGTTGGCCAAACTGGTCTGTCCTTATTTTGCTCTCTTAAGCCTGGCACAAAAGGTGATTTTGCCTCCTAGAAGTGCAGATATCTTAAATTGGCTTATATTTGGTTGGTTCATTTGTGAAATTCTTCAGATACTTTAAAACATAATTTTAAAATAAAATATAGACTCTCACATTCCTTCATTCCAGGGTGGGTCCTAGTGTGGATGTACATAAAGTGGAAGCAAAGGATTCCTAAGTTATTTTTGCCCTTGCAGAACATGTGACAGTGCTGGGATTTGGTTAAAGTTCATCTGTGGCAGTAGCTTGGTTGCTTCAGAAACTATTTCCATGTGGCTGAGAATCCATATTGGAGCCACATGTAAATAGCTTACCATCTAGACTGGCCCCAGTCGCATACAAAATATCCAGAACTTCTTGGAGGGGAATGGCACAAAGAACAATCTGCATGGCAAACTCGTGCAAATAGAATGCTTCACTCCACTTAAAAGATACAGTGTATGACTTTCCACTGATTCCCCTTTCACTTAAATGATTCAAGGTGCATCCAGATAGCCAGATAACCCCACTTCTTTCTTTTCCTTCTTCATAACCTCTCTGCCCGGTACACATGGTGACTACCCAGAGAAGCCGTTAGCAATGTGCAAAACAACCATGTGCAATGTGCATATCTGATGAATGTCAGTCTAAATGCTGACTGCATTTGCCCCGCATGGTTGAGCAATGCCTTATGGACAACTCTGCATATGAAAAGACCACCATCTACAAGTCCCTGTCCATGACTTTTTCTTTTGAGAACAGCAAGCTTTTCTTTCCTTACTATAATTTCTGGCTTCATTCCTATTTCCAGCCGATGAAGAAGCACCAGATTATGGCTCAGGAGTGCGGCAGTCAGGAACCGCCAAAATTTCCTTTGATGATCAGCATTTTGAGAAGGTAAGACAGGAAAGCCAGCACTGTCTGAGCATCATCCCAAGAAGCAATTACCTGGAGTACAGGGGCCCAACGCTAATTAATTATTAATTAATCAGTGTCTTGTGCGGATTCAAAACTATCAGAGTGCAGTATTATGCACAAAGGTTGAACCAGAGGCTACTTGCTGACTTTGAGTTGCATCAAAGTCAGATGTCTGTTCTGTTTTCTAGCATCCAAACCATTTCTTTGGCATATGTAGTCCATCCACAAAGCTAAGCAATAACATTAGTTGTCTTAAATTTACATCTGTTTACAAGTATTAACATATGGAATGAAGACTGGACTAGTCTGCTTTCTGAAAGTGGACACCACTATTAAGAACACTTCAAATCATGGTCTTTAGTCATCTAGCAATTCGTGGTGGGTAGGAGATATTAACTAATACTTGATTTCATGGATGCTATTCAAACACAATGCACATCTGATGATGATGGACTGGTACCAACATATCTCTGTACTGCTCCCTCTTTTTCTGTGTCCACTTACTGCTTGAGCTTAGTTGTGAATCTCTGACCTAAAGGAGAGCAAAATACACTGCTGCAAGAGAAAACAAAGAATACTTTTCATAGCCTTCATGTCCATCCCTTGCATTACATCCCTTTCTTTTGCTTCCTTGTAGTTCCAGTCTGAGTCTTGTCCTGTCGTGGGAATGTCCCGCTCTGGAACTTCACAGGAAGAGCTGCGCATTGTAGAGGGACAAGGGCAGATAACTGACATAGGACCATCAGCAGATGAAGTCAACAACAACACCTGTGCAGGTAGAAAAGCACTTCAGGCCAATGCCGCTAGCATAAGACCAGTGTAACATAGTCTGTAAACTACAGATGGAAAAGCAATTTGGCTGCAACATTTTGTACCTGTTGCCATTTCCAAAGCAATTCTTCAAGAGCAATTCCATGTAAAGAATGTTAGAGAAATCTAAGTGGGATGTGAGGAAACTGTGTGTCACTCTAGTCAGATCCATTACTTAGTAAAACCAACTTGAAGTATGGGCTATAATGCTGTGAAAGTCTACTGCTCAGTTTTGGTCTATCCTTATGACAGCTTTTGCCCACAAAGGATTTAGCACATGGTGCTTCGATTGTTTGTAAAGAGCAGTATTTGCACTTAGGATCCAGTCCTTTTTGGCTGATGCAACTACCTTGACACTTCATACCAGAAGCCCTGGTGGCAGCTTTTCCTCCAGTGCGCAGAACCTCATTCCCTTTTTACTTTATTGTGTGTGCCCCACAGGATCTAAACATGGTCTTTATACAAGAAAGAACTGTGGTTTACAGTTACTAAATTATATTTCTCTAGCCACTCCGGAAGATCTCCTCTTGGATAGTTCGGAGAAGTCTGCTGTAGACGGGCCGTTAGAGGCTGCCCTGGAGCATTTGAAGCTGGGCAGCATCTTCACTTTCCGAGTGACTGTACTGCAGGCCTCAAGCATCTCAGCAGAATACGCTGACATCTTCTGCCAGTTTAAGTAAGATACAGTCCTCCATTCACTCACTTCAGGCCATTGTAATCACCCCTTTGTTTGCAGTTTGCTGGATTTTCACCTATTCAAATATATGTTTGAATATATATTAGAGAGAGAGAGAGAGAGAGAGAGAGAGAGAGAGAGAGAGAGAGAGAGATTCTAATCCAGCTTTTCCTAACCTGGAGCTCTCCAGAAGTTCTAGACAACAGTTCCCAGGGTTCCTGACCATTGGTTTGCTAGCTGGGGCTGATGGGAGTTGAGGACCAAAATATCTGCAGGGTACCAAATTGAGGAAGGCTGTTCCAATCCATGCCTAGAGCTCAGAACATTTTAGTGCATTGAATTTTTACCACCCTAAAATCCTGTTTTTGGAATGATGGCATGATATATAAAAACAAAAAAAATCTGCCCTTTCCAGATGGGAGATTTTGTCATGACAGAACTTCCAGTCTATCTAAGTAGCTTTACCATTTAAAAGTATGAAGAGTAGAGGCTAAGATATAGCTACATTTTGAAAGATACTAATTAGACTTCATGGCAGAAGAAAGGTCAATGGTGAGACAACTATTAGGAGAAAGCTGGTAAAAATTTTGAGTCACCCTGCAAGGAGAGGATGAGGAACCCCACAGAGGATTATCCTCCATTCTGCCCCCACCCCAATCTTTGTTTTCCTGGTCTTCCAGGGTGTAGCCCTACAAGAAAGAGGTTAAAACTTGTAAGATGTCCAGAGAACATTTGTTATTTGATGAATTAAACATATAATAAATAAAATAAATCACACACATTGCATAGGAAGCCTGATTGTGACCAGCAGATCCCCAACTGAACTAATGTTTGTTTACTGGATATAAATAATATGCAGACTAATAAATACATACATAATATGTAAACGGATCTTGCTGAGATAAAGTTATAAATACATTTAAATATATTTATGCTAAATATATTTTAAAACAGTAGTAAAAGCTATGTTTTTTCTCAGCTTTATCCATCGCCATGATGAGGCCTTCTCTACTGAACCCTTGAAGAACACTGGACGAGGTCCACCTCTTGGCTTCTACCATGTCCAGAACGTTAGTATAATTCCAGCACTCTTTCCTTTTGATCACTTGACAAATCTCCCCTGGTACAGTAGCTTTGTGATTGCCACAGAGATGTTGTTTATGGTGACACCTTTTAGGGTTTTACATCAGGCAACCATGTGTACAGTTGTCTGATTAGCAAGAAGGATATATATGGAATACAGTGGCAATTCAGGTCCCTGCACCTAAAACAGAAATTCACGGAGTTGGGAAAAGTACGGAAAAGAGCAAGAGGCTGGAACAACTTTCTTATGAGGAAAGATGATGACATCTGGGTCTGTTTAAATTAGAAGAAAGGTGAATGATGTACCCCCACAAAAGTGGGGTACAAAATTATATATGGTTTAGAGAAAGTGAATAGAGAGGCATTTTTCTTGCTTTCTCCTAAGACTGGTACCTGTGGTCATCTCAATCAACTCATTGATAGGAGATTCAGGACATAGAAAAGGGTTTACTTCTTCACACAGTTTGTAGTTAAACTTACTACAAGATGTAATGGTGGCCACCAATTTGGATGTTTTCAAAATCATTTGGACAAATTCACAGAGTGGCTACTAGTCCTGGTGGCTATATGCAACTCCCATTATCAGAGGCATGTTGCAGGGGAATCTGGACCTGTTAGTTTCCCATGGGCAGCTGGTTGGGCACTATGTGAGCAGAGAGCTGGACTAGATGGGCCTCCCTCTGACCCAGCAGGGTTCTTCTTAGCTTCGTATATGAAGAAATACATTACTCTTGATTCAGGGTACCTTTGTAGCAATCTTCTCATTGCCTCCTTCCATGAGAGAAAGAAACATTCATAGCAATGTTTGCCACTCAGGCAGAAAGCTGTATGAAACAGTCTGAACATATTATGAAGCATGTAATATAATATGCGATATAATATTCTATATACTGTACCAGCAAGTAAGCATTTAAGATGGGGCATAACCACTGCAGCCTCATGTCATGTCCTGTCTCGATGCGCTAATGTTATGAGCACATTTAGCACAGCAACACAGCAGTGCAGAGCATTCTTTTTGCATGTATGGGAAAGGCAGACATAGCTCTGATAAAATGAATACCGCTGTAGAGTTTGCATTCTAGATGAAGAGTCTTCTTCTAGACAGGGCTTGAACAAATGCAGCTTCCTCATGTATAGGACTGTGCTGTAAGTGAATGAGAAGCTGCATATATGTTAGCAATTTTTTTCCATCTTTCTCAATTAATGTAAGGGGAGTTTTCTTACCCTTCTGTCCTGTCTCTTAGATTGCAGTGGAAGTTACCAAATCTTTCATCGAATACATTAAGAGCCAGCCAATTGTTTTTGAGGTATTTGGACACTATCAGCAGCATCCGTTTCCCCCTCTCTGCAAAGATGTGCTCAGGTAAGTGTGTGTTGGGAATGAAAGGGACAGTTCTTTTTGGTGTGCATTCTGAGGTCAGGCAGATTTGGACACATCAGATGAGGGCAGGCCCTGGGAACCAGCATCCTCAGATGTTGAAATGGGAGAAGCGGAGGGGCTTCTCTCAGGTTTGCCCTGCACAGGTGTTCAGTTGGACTCGGAGAATAGTCAGAATCTACAGCTGCAGGGAGGGCGCATGGGAGGAGAACTCCAACAGCCAGCCTAACCTGGTATGATTCTTCACCCTATGACATGGTGTTGGGAGAGACAGGCCACCCAACTAGAGGGGTGGCAGACAGAGAAGAGGCTTGCCCACTTCCAAAAGAGCCCTCCCAGAGCCCTAAGGTACTCAAAAAGAGGGTTCTCAGAAGTAGTTGCCAGATGGGGTTCAACTGCTCTCTGTGTGCTCAGAGAATGTGCTTACTGGATGTACCTTAGAGTTTTTGCAAAAGGACAGTCTGTTACTCTGAAGATACAGAGGGGAAAACCTAGCTCCTGGCAGTGTGTTACCTCCATGACAACTGGCATTGCTCTAAAACTGCTCTTTGCTGGGCTTGGCTTGGATAAACATAACCAGATTTACCTGATTATTTTTTTAGCAACAGTTTTATACCTCTTCTCATTTGAAACGTATCCCAAAGGTACTTACAAAAGAATAAAACACAGATTAAAAGCCTCACACACATACATACAACCTAACATAATGAGGCTAGCCAAGTCCACTTTGTGATTGTGGCTTCATCCACGATGCCATTGTGCCTCACTTTCTTGGTCTTATCTTAAGCAGTGCCACAGCCATGTTATTTTGACCCTGGGCACAGCATTCTTATAACTCTCCCACACCATTTTTTGAAGTAATAGTAAAGCACGCAAGTGACCTTTGTCTTCTCAACCCCCTGTCCCATCATGCCCTTCCATGCTTTACAATAGCTTCCAATCCCAGTAAGGTTACAGTAGGGGTTCCTGATGGCAGCTGCAAAGCAGTTCCCAATGTGGGGCACACATTGTTTTATTTTTCCCCATTTTTCTTAATATATACACATGATTTGAATGCAATACATATAATTTTCTAGCAATTATCAATGGGCTTCAACAAAAGCAGACCAAATATCCAAATAAATATCCATTTGGTGTCTGTCTGCAACTTATTCATATACTGAAAATCTTGTAAGGCCCTTAATCCATTGCATTATAGGAAAGGAGTGTTTATCCTTCCAATATTGTAATACCAGCACATGATGCTTTTTCATTTACATTGTTATTGCTAAGCACGTCTTAACACGGTTAATCTTAGGGAAATCCCATGAGAGCCTCATGTAAACCAGCATGTTCTGTCAGGTAGGCAAGGGGAGTCAATCTCCAGACAGTGCTACTAAAATCATGGTTGCCATTTCAGTTCCTTGGGTGGGTGAACAGTTGGGGCAACTGCATAAACCCCAGTGGGCTCATTTTCCACTATCTGACCAGCACTATTTAAGTAACTTAGAGAGATCAGTCCTTTGGTCCTAAGGGGATAGATTATTGTTTATTCTCACAGTAATTTGTGTTCCTTTACCCTATAGCCCCCTAAGACCATCCCGGCGCCATTTTCCTCGCGTCATGCCATTATCCAAACCAGGTAATAGAAGAATTTCTTCTTGTTTAACATAATAGTTAATGGTAAAATAAGAAAAATAAGAGTAGAAGATTGTGGGGGAAGAGACTAGCCATCACAAAATGCTTGTGCTTGTCTGGGAGAAGATGAATTAACAGAAAAGTGCTTAGAAGACAGTACTAGCATGACTCATTGCATTAATGAATAATAGCCAGAATGCAAGGAGGATGCACTTCTGTGCCTTTTCTAGCATCGTGTTATCCATTGTCTTGGTTCTTTTATTTGGGGGGGGGGGGGGGGGGGGGGGAGGTCATAGGTAAAGTGCCGCATTCCCTGTGCATATGAAAAGTTCCACTGGGCTCTAAGCTCATTTCAGTTCAGGCATTTGGAGCTGGAGAAAATGCAAGTTCTTCTTGCCTGAAATTTATCTCCAAAGAACTGTATGTGCACCTGGTTAAAGCCTATTGACAAGGCATTTCAAAGTTACAAAGCTGGGTTGTCCGTGGTCACTCTGCTGTTCATGTGCTTCCAGTTTGTTTTTATTATAGCATTGTTTTACTGTTCTATTGTATTGTGTTGTGTTTATAGTACACTTTAGTTTGTATATACTTCTTGTGTATTCCCCTGGTACCTACTTAGTCAGATGTGTTGTAACTCATGTCCATGGGCCAATCTGACCTGCTTGGGGTCCCAGTTCACCCTCTGGGGTGCACCAGATGGTCATGCTTGTTTGTCCTAACCACTGATCTTTTGGCGGCTTAAGATGCAATCCTATGCCTATTTAGATAGAAGAAAGGCCTACAATTCCCAACATGCCCCAGCCAGCCACACTGGGAGTTGAAGCCTTTCTTCTGGCTAAACATACATAGGATTGTACCCGTTTTATTCAATTTATTTTATGCAGTTCCACCCATCTGCCCTTTTTAATAGGAGAAACACCTCTCCTAAGTCTTAGCTTTTGGCAGTAAGAGCTTTAAGCTAAATTGTACTGTAATTTTTACCCTTCCCCTTTTTCCTTTTGGTGCCACCCACCTTTGGAATTTGGCTTCTCTCAAACTTAAATCAGCCCTTTTGCTGAAAGAGGTTTGGTAAGCTGCTGAGGACCTGAGGGTCATCCTAAGGAGAGTTGGAGCAGATAATGGAGCATGTGTCTCTCAGCTGTTGCTATCTGTGGTCGGTCCCAATTTTCTGCCTACCATGATCAATGACTGTTTAAACTCATTCTCTCTGGAATGCTGTAGATTTGAATGGCACATTTAAAGCAATAGGAGTAGTGGGCAGAGTTTCAGGTACTGAATAAGCGCTACCCATGTGTCATGTACCCAGCTTAGGTTGTAGGTATCCAAGCATAATTGTTTCCTTTTGTCTTGTATTCTGCTTGTTTCTCTTTGTCACTGATGAAGGGTGTGAGAAATCCTTCCAGATGATTAAAAGCCTGGTCCCCAGTGTGCTTGCTGGTGACATTCTGGAAGCCTTCTCTGGGTACTTGTTTTCTACTGCCAGCACAGCCTTCTCCTTCCCACTAAGAGATGGGGAGGAATCCAGCCCTGCAACATCCCTGTCAGTTATGAACTGTGTTGTGAGAAAAGCTCAGCAGCCTGGTTGGTGCCTGGACAAAGCTGTGGAAGACTCCAACTCAGGGTTCTTTCCTTGGAGGGTTCCTGAGAAATGAACCTATGCAGTATTTAGAAATGGGGCAATATCTAGAACAGCTTTGCTTTGCTTGCTGTTCCAAAATTCAGTGTGCATGAAATCTTGGATGAATCTGCCACAGGATGCCTTCGATCCCTGAGTCCTTGGGGTTTTCCACTCTCCTGTTCACAGTGTGTTTTTTCTTGCTGCTGCCTTCAGCAGGATTCTGGACTCTCTCTCACTCTCTCTCTCAATCTGTGTGTGTGTGTGTGCGCGCGCACCCGCATGTGCATGCATGCTGGCCTTTAACTGGGAAGGTGTTGGGCTGTCCATTAATCTTTTGCATCTTTGATGACTTTCACCCATAGTTTTCCAAGTTAGGTATAGGAAGATATATACGAGTATAGCCCCATCATCTCACACAACACTTTTCTGAATAACATCAGCAAAATGACAAAATGGGTTTGTTCTGAGATGTTTGCTATGCACAGTGAGCAAGACAAACAGAAGGGGAGGAATGTCTCACTTCAAATGCCTGAATGCAAGGGTGTCAATTTTTTTTTGGCCTGTGGGCATTTTTGGGAATTTGAGAAATTTCTATGTGCCCCACAATAAAATGGCCTTTACAGATTAGTCATACAGTGGCCGGCATGGGGGCCTGACTAGTCAAAAATGAGGTGTGAGGGACAGATACAGTGAAGCTAGAGACTGAAAGGGAGGGGGGAAAGCGAAATAAAGGGGTGGAAGGGACAGAAGGGGCAAGGCTAATGGCTAGAAAGGAAGAGAAAGGAGACTACCTAAACATCTTCTAGTTTTTTAAAATTTAAATTATTTTTGAAGAGGGCAGGAAGAGGAAAACTTTGTGGGCTCACCATGTTGGGGTCCCCTGCCTTAATGGGATTGATTTTTAGAGTCCAAAGGCATGCACAACAGGTCACTTTATGGCACCTCAACTCCTAGCATGTAGATTTGCTGTGTGTGCAAGCTAGCTGGCCACAATCTTTTCCAAACATCTACCCAGCAGTGATGACCTAAGCCAGACATCTCCAATTCAGCATCTTCCAGATCTAGTGGACTAGAAGTCCCATCACCTGCTGTGCTAGCTGGGAAGATGGGACTTGAATGCCAACAGCTCTTGAGAAAGCAGGCTGTCCTAAGTGCTTACTAAATTGTTTATGTATTCATACCACAAAAGAGCACGTGTAAAGAATGATCTTCCTTTGTAGCTGTTACTGATACCATGAGCATTAATCATTCCCCGGCTCTTCTTTGTACGTGTGTCTAGTCCTTTCTGGTGGTCATTCATATTGCATCACAGTTGAGTTGGTTTCATTATCTGTAAGTCTTCTCATCTCACTGGAGGAGGAAATATGTGCAGCCTTGGACATGTTTGTCCACGTGCTCACACAGTCCCAGCCATCTTCCTTTCTGTGCATTTGGATCCAGAGCCTTGTGTAGATCTGAGTACTAGAACTGAGCACTGACTTTTCTTTTCCTTTAGACAGCTGTTGATGGTAGAGTTGGCTGTTTTTCCCCTTTTCTGTGTGGTGCAGTGAGACCAGTTTGAGGTAACAGGGTTTGCTGTCATTATCTTTGCCCCCTGAATCCAGTTTCTTTCTTTGCAGTGCCTGCAACAAAATTGAGTGCCATGACAAGGCCAAGCATCGGCCCCTGCCAATGCAAATATGATCTGATGGTCTTCTTTGAGATTTGTGAACTGGAGGCCAATGGCGAGTAAGTGGCTGCCTTTGTTTACAGGAGAGGCAGGTTTTCTACTCTAACAGCCATGATGAGCAAATTTAATGGACAGCCAAAGTGTTTTCATCAAAGCTTTGCTATAGCCATTAGAGGAACCTCTGCCAGCTTTTAAAGTGGATGATTGGGACTTTTGGGACGGATTCAGCCTTACTGAAGCCAGAAATTGATTCATTTCATGCATTAGCAAACTATCTTGTTTTCTTGAACCTGAAAAGCACCCAGATTGGGCCCAATAGATGACTGGATTCATCATGGATTCTTCACTTTTGCCCCATCCCCCCCATTCCTTGCAGTGATATCCTTTAATGATCCATGCCCTTCAAAGTGCCCAGTGGCATGGTAGTTGGGGCTTCCTATGCCTGCCCATTTTTTTTTAATTGCTCCTGTAAATGAACACACCCACACAATTCTTTTTGTCCGTATTGTGCAAACAGGGCTTGATCCCTCAACAGGTACAAATTGTAGCCAGAACTGGAATGTCCATCTTGCAAGCTGACCAACCCTGTTGCTGCCTTGTGCTGCTGACACAACCCCTCCTGCTACCTCTCTAGCTAGTGCAAGGATATCCCCTTTATGCCAGCAGCCTGAGCATTGTGCTGTGGCACAGAGTGCAGTCCCCATCACTGGCTCAAGTGGAGATCGCAAGACAGTGGCAGGGATGCCACATCCACTGGTGTTGGGATTCCATCTGGCAGCCTTGGGTGGAAAGGGAGAGATGGCCCCAGCTGCCATCTCTTGAGGAGACCCTGCGAACCATGGTGGGGGACTTCACTGCTCACTGCTGCCAGTGATCTCTGCTGTGTGCCACTGTCATGAAGACATAGGGAATGGCACACACCAGAATTCAGCAGAGCCTCTGATAGCCATCCTCAGGGGGCTGTCGGAGGCTTCCCTGATCTCCACTGTGATTGGCATGGGTCATGAACCACTGCCACCAGCCCCAGATAGGTGGCAGGGCTGGCAGAGATTGCATGAAGCCCATGCCACCCACTCCAGGTGCTGCTTTGGAATGTTGCCTGGTAGCACCTGGAGGTGGGTGGCATGGGCTTCCCTTTCCCCCACTTTGTTCGGAGATTATGAAAAGCAGGTGAGTCAGGTCCTTCAAAGTGCCCAAGCACCCCCCCCCTTTTGCACCTCAATTTTTTCTTTTAAAAATATTATTCAGAAGTACAATCATTCATGGATCCTAAATTGCCTGCCTCACCTGGGCAGTATCTTGGGGGAATGTCTGCTCTTAAAGTGCAACAGAATCCCTCATGGCCATTGACTCAGAGGCTGCCAAGACTTTTGGTTTTGATCTGTCTTCAGAGCTGTCAAAAGATGAGTTGTCAAAAAACCACAGAAGCTAAGAATGATCTTTGTTCATGAAAGGGGATAACCACTTCACAGCGATATCATCAATGGTTGTTTGTTTGTTTGTTTTCTGGCCCTGGTTTCATTCAGGGTCCTCTCACTTTCACACCGTTCTTGAGATTCTGGGTGTTTGGGAAGGTGGAAAAGTGTGAGCCACCCCTGTTTAGGGGAGCTATCAGTTTAGACAGCAATCTGTCAAAACTCTGGCTCCTTTAAAGGGTTGAAAAGGGGGTTCACATGAAGTTTTTCAGAGTGACGTATGCCAGCATGAAAAGTTGTGTGATGAACTAGTGACATCCTTTCCACTGTGCTGGGTCAGCACTTTGAAAGAACTGTTACCAGCTGTCGAACTGAAGATTGCTTTTTGAAATCACTAAAACAAACTGCACAAATAGTACTGGGATGGTTGTGTCTTCCGGGTTTAGCATAAATAAAACAGATGGAGTGGATTACTTCACTCGCATTGTTGCTGGGGGTCTGTGGTGCAGGCTAACATTCTCTATCCTGTCTCACTAAAGTTTTCTTTTCCAGCTACATCCCTGCTGTTGTGGATCACCGTGGAGGGATGCCCTGCCATGGAACTTTCCTACTACACCAGGTATTTTCTGCCTGCCATGTCTTGAATCAGAGCATCACTAGTGCTGTGATCAATATTTTTCAGTTCATCCTTCAGCCCAAAAGTTATCATGGGAGGGTGATGAAACTTCCACAGAAAGACAAGCCACCCCTTATAAAATTGCTTTTCACACCTGCTGAAGAATGCACAGTGTTTTGCCAGGAGAGATTGGGAAGGGGGATTCCCAATCTGTACTGCAGATATTTCCTTTAATGGGACCTTTTTGAAGGGGGGAATTTGCAGTGCAACTATCTTTCTCTCCTTATTTTGTCAAAGTGCTTGGTGAGAGAGAGGGAGAGGTAGAAAGTGGATTGTCTTGCATGTCACCTTCTTTAAGAGACAGTTTGAAGAAGGTCTACAGTGGGTCCAGCTCCTTTCCCCTCTCTTAGCCAACATTTCCCCCCTGTCCACTTTTCCTTAGTGCTATCCATTGCATAAACACAGTTGTTGTAACTCCCGTGCTTTCCCTTTGGGCATGATTGATGGCAGGGCATCCAGAGGAGGATCACAGTCACCTTGGTGCATGAGACAGGTAGCCACATCCGGTGGAAGGAAGTGCGGGAGCTGGTTGTGGGTAAGCAAAGCTTGTCTTTTCCCTTGCATGTGTTTCATTAACCCAGATTTCTCTAACCTAGTGGTCTCTGGATGTGCTGGATAGCAATTCCCATCATTTCCTATCAACATAGAAATGATAGGATAGAGCCAGTGTGGTGAGAGCCAATGTGGTGTAGTGGTTAAGAGCATGGGACTGGGACTCAGATGATCTGGGTTCTAGTCCCCGCTCAGCCATGGAACCAACTGGGTGACTTTGGGCCAGTCACAGACTCTCAGCCCAACCTACCTCACAGGGTTGTTGTTGTGGGGATAAGATGGAGGAGGAGAATGATGTAAACTGTCTTGAGCCCTTTGTAGGAAAAAGGCAGGGTATAAATCGAATAAATAAATAAAATAGGATATGTAGACATACCTGGAGTGGACCAGATTAGGGAAGGCTGACTTAGCTAATGCCAAAGCCAAACTTGCCTGAACTGACCAGCCCTGTATGCCTGAACAATGCCATTGATACCAGAGAAGCTTCTGGATGCAGTTGCTGTGTCCTGCAGGGACCCAAGTGATGCAGGCCTTCAAGTATGCTTGCTGGTTTTGATGCAGCAACATCCTACTGGATACAGCAACATCCTACTGGTTGCCAGCTGAAGTAGACAGGACCTCCAGTAGTTCAAGGAAAGCCATGCAGAATGGCATTTGTTGTGAAGAACTACTCCACATCTCCACCCCTAAAAACGTAGAGGTTGGAAGGTTGCACCAAACTGATTCCCTTGGCTTTTGCAGGCACATTTTGAGAGGTGATTAAATTATAGCGATAGGACAGGCTTGCTGCCTCCTTTTGGCAGCTAATAAGAGTGGTTAATGTTTTGGAGCCATGGTATATGAATAGGCAATACCTCCCCACTATTTTATGGAAGTATTTATAGCAATCTTCAAAATTCCTGGTGTGCCTACCAACTCAAAAAGGTCAAGGACTCATCTCTGCATCATAAGAGTGCAGAAATATCTCAGATATGTCACTTGATGTTCAGTCCCAGCTACAGACAGTTTCAAATGGAAAGAGTGAAAGGTGGAGTCATTCCTGCCTGCCACCTGCCCCATATAAATAGAGTATGTGTCTGCATGCACACTCACTGCTTCCTGCCATGTGGTTGCTGTCAGGCAAGGGCAAAATAAACTGCATGTACTCTCTTCTGCTTGCAGGTCGGATCCGGAACACCCCGGAAGGAGATGAATCCCTCATTGACCCCAACATCCTTTCTCTGAATATCTTGTCATCAGGATACATTCGACCCTCCCAGGATGATCGGTGGGTTTGGTCACATGTTATTCCAGCATGCTCTGCTTATCTATCCTGGGTCAAACATGGTCTCCCTGTAGGGCTTCAGGGAGTGCACACGCCTTTAGGGATGTCCATTCCACTGCACAGCCGGTGGACTAAGCCATGCTGAGGATAGCTGAGAAGCCAGACTACAATGACAAAGGAGTGGTGAGAGAAAGCCACTAGCTTCCGAAACAACTTTTCCCAAGCACCTCTTCTTGCTGTTTTACCAGACTCATAGCTGATATTCTACAGCAACAACCCTCATTTTACTTATAACTGCCTTGGCTTGGCCATGAATACCCACTGCCTTGTCACAGAATTGGATGTTTAAAATTGTATCCAAATGTAGGAAGTTCCCTTATATCAGTTTGTCCATCAAACCAGTACTTAATGCACATTGTGCTGACTGGAACAGCTCCCTAGCATCTCTAGCTGTCTTCCACACCACCCTTTTATCTGTGTATGCCAGCAACTGAACCTGGAGATGGCCTTTCCCTGTATGTGTGGGATTCTTGGACAGCTGCTACCTCTGTAAGCATCTCATTGTTATACAGTGTAAAGCAGGGGTGTGCAGCCTCTTCTTCCTGTTAAGGGCCACATTACCTTCTGGTTAAACTGCTGATGGCTCCATAGCGATGGTGGACAGGGCCAAGGCCAAAAGAGGGTATGTTGCCCCTTTTCTTATGTTTCCTTTCCCCCTTTTCACTTTGCTCTTCTCTTATCTTTTTTTCCACCCAGGGGGTTGCTTGGGAAAGATTGCTCTTGCCAGAGCGCTGAACTGAATGCATGCAATGGGCTTTTGAAACTATGCTGGGGCTCATATGAATTTGGGTCAAGGGCTGCATCTGTCCCTTAGGTCACAGGTTGCCACCCCTGCTGTAAAGGTAATTTTAAGCGATTAGCAGCTAAGTGTACCAGTGGTGCTGGTAGTTACCCTGATATAAAAATACAACTTCCTGGGTGGGCACAGGTCAGCAGTATAAGAAACTATTCTGTAAGTAGAAGTTCTCCAGCCTAGGTCTAGAAATGCAATGTGACTAAACCCCTTCACTCCATCTGAGGTAAAAGCCGTGAAAATATCTTAGAGGTCAGCCACTGCTTCTTTCTTTTTGTGTAGTAAGAGCTTGTTTTCTGGGTAAAAGATAGCACAGAATAGCTATAGTTGGCACAAATGGCTTGCAGATCTTTCTAGCCTCCTTTGTGCTTGAGTAGCAACGCTTGCATGTAAGACATTCTCTCTGGAGGTGAATCCTGGAGATGGTGCCACATAGAGAGGCTTGCACTTCATGTGAAGTACAGGTTTGGCACCAGATGGGATAATAGTACTCTGTGGTATTCTCAGTGGTAGCAGCCTAGGAGACAGCATGGGTTCTAATCCAAGTTTCCCTTACTCCATTTGGGAAGGCGATTCTCATTTCTTTCTCATTTTTCTGTCTCCTGTAGATAAGAGGTTAATTATTCCAGCCATGTCCTCAGCTATCATTTCCATTCCAATATATCATTTATCCAAACCACTGGCAAAAACTGTTCAACAGAAACTTATGTGGGTGAGCTAGGAAATTGAAAGGAGATAGATAACTATGAAAAAGAATATGTGGACAAGGCTAGCGGTTAGTGGCCTGGTCTCCAAGGACTCATCTAGCTAAGGGCTGCTCACTTCAGGTTCTATAATACTTAGGAGGAAATGAAAGCACTTGTGTCAAAGATGATGTAGAGTTTATTGAATAAAATGAGGAAATATGAATATAAAAGCAAAAGGCATCTTACACTCCCCTCCTCGTGGCCTGCTGGTTCCCTAAATAGGCCAGGGAATGCTCTGTGGGCCTCCAAAACCACCAGGGCAAGAAATATGTTAATTCCTCTCCCCAAGCTGAGAACAAAAGACATGGATTTGATAAAGGTCCTCTCTCCCACAGTTTCACAAGCTGACAATACATAGAGGCTCAAACTTTCCTTCCTGGGGGACAGGGTGGAGGCAAGGCAAGGAAGCTGCTTTAGTAAAGGAAACAGTTCTGTTTCCACAGCTCTTTTCTAAGAGCATGCTTGCAAAAGCAGCTTCAAGGCAGTGATCTCTGGCTTTCCTCCTAACAAGCTGAAGACCATAAAGCAGTGGTTTGGCTACAAGGAACTTTCCTACAAGGAACTTTTGGACAGTAGGAAAGTTCACTACAGTGCCTGTTGAACTTTTAATGAATTCCTCACTATTCTTCCAGCAGAGCCCATGCAACAGCGCATGTATCATGTATAAAGCATAATCTGAGCAGAAAAGCTGAAAGAAAAAGAATGTTTAAGTTAACTCTCCCTAGTTTGGTGGCAGTGTCAGAAGAGAGCAAGTATTCTCCCCCAATGAGTTATTAATTGTTCAAAGGGGAATTTTATCTTCCAAATGAGCAAGCAATAAATTAAAGAACCTATCTAAACCAAACATGAAAGCGGTGCAAATAGGGTCAGCATGCAACAGTGTCATTCCAATTACCAATATTGACTAAAGGTCTGTCCTGTTAGTTAAAATGGAGCAAGGGCTAGCTATAGGATACCTAGCACTCTGGGTGGGAAATAGCACTGGTGCTCACTGCCCCCTCCCATTGCCCCAGTCAGCTTAGCATGGCCATGGAGAAGGTCTCTGGTGCCTGGTGCAAGTGTGTCATATCTATAGAAAGCAGCAGGGGCACAAGCAAGTATTACTGCATGCACAGACTGTATCTGAAAATTCTCGCCTGCAACTCCTTCTTGTCAAGTAGAGTGAGAGATGTGCTTCCCATTTCATAAAAGGTGATGAAGAGAATAGCAACCAGGCCATGCTTTTCCTGAGCGCCGCCTCCAAATGCCAACCACTTCTGGCAGAGCTTCTTTCTGCTTCCCAGGGCTCAGTCTCACAGGCCTTGTTGCCTGCTGCTGGCCTTTACTGCTCATTCAGTAGGATTCTCACACTGAATCTGTACCTTAGCTTAGAGCAGTAATGGCAAACCTTTTAGGGATGGAGTGCTCAAACTGCAACCCAAAACCCACTTATTTATCACAAAGTGCCAACACTACAATAAGACCTGAAAACTGAAGTTTTAGTTTAGAAAAAAACAACCCACAGCCAGTCCAAGCATGCATGCACACACACACGGCAGCGGAATGACAGGCCATGAGAGAGCTCGGATGAGACGTGGGTAATGAGTCGCGGCACGTGACGTCATCGCCTGGCGCTGCTACTCCTTTCCAAGCATGAGCATGGCCCCTGTGTGCACTGTTATCCTATGCTCGACTGCTGGGGGCACTGCTGGGGTGACTTGGCTCACATGCCGACAGAGAAGGCTCTGCGTGCCCGCTGTGGCACGCATGCAATAGGTTCGCCACCACTGGCCTAACCCTACCCTGGTGCACTCCCCTAACCCTAATATATGGCTAAAGTTCCATTAAAAAGAGAGCAATTTTGAAAAAGCCTTCCTTGAGTAGCTTTTTCTGCACAGCTCATCATTTCTGCCCATTCTAAATACATTCCAACCATCAAAAGCATACCAGGACACCTTGTTTTTCTAACCCTAACCCACTTATTTGTCGGAAAGTGCCAACACTGCATTTAAACCTGAAAACAGCCAGTCCAAGCAAATATATATGTATCCTTGGCAGTGCACTGACCGGCCATGCGAAAGCTTGGACGAGTCATGGCTAATGTGTCGTGGCTTGTGACATGATCGCCTGGCACCACTACTCCTTTCCAAGCATGCGCATGGCCCCTGTGTGCACTGTTATCCAATGCTCGGCTGCTGGGGCAATGCTGGGGTGACTTGGCTCGCATGCCGACAGAGCTCTGCATGTCGCTGTGCACGCATGCCATAGGTTAGCCACCACTGGCCTAGAGTAGCTACCATAGGAAATTACTCTTCCATAGGACCTGACCTGGAAATCTCAGGGGATGTCCATTCACTCACTTGCTCACTTCCTGCACTCTTTCCCTTGTTGGCCTGGAGTTCTGTGACCAGAACATACCATGTGCTTTGTTACAGAATCCCTCTTTGAAGCAACAAACTTTGTGATCAGGCTAGTTGGCCTGGACCAATCATAAACCTGCTTAACCGATCTCTTCTGCCTAGACATAAAGATTTTACCTTACCTTAACTGGTTTAGATTCCCTTACAGTTGGACTGCAGGTCTAGCTGATAAACATGCCTCCTTCCTAGCTGCAACTTTCTATAGCTTCAAGTAGACCCTCTGTTTTTCTAACTTTGAAAATTACCACTTTTCCAGAATACAGAACTATAGTAGCCATATGACCAAACCTAGCCTACCAGTTTTATAGAACAAGTGAGGCTGATATCCCACACCATGGTGAGGTAGATGTAAGTGTTTTGACTGGGGTATTTCCGAAAATGTAAATGCTGTCTGGAGTTAGGAACCAACCAACCAACGTGCATCAGCAGAGCCAGTCGCTCAGTAAGTTTGCCTCAAAACTGTATTCCACCAGTTTTTTCCCCAGTGCAAATGACATCAAAGTGAATATTGAAAAACAAACATACTCTAAAGTTAATTGAAAATTAGTGCCCAAACAACCTGGAGAACCTTGGAAAAAAGATCACAGTCACTTGTTTTTTGCTATTCCAATTCCCTGAAGACAGCACTTTTTTTGAAAACTGAGTTCAGCTTGGCTCCCTAGGCAGCTGCCCAGCTTGCTCACATCTAAAGCTGGCACTGTATGGAGCAGATGTGATTCCAAATGGCTGCTTCTTCAGTAGCAGGAATAGCAAACTGAGAAGCAAAACAGGACGAACCTCATAGGAAGGGTACAGGCATTTGAAGCTGCTGTTGTTGTTGTTGTTGTTGTTATTATAACATTTCTATGCCGCCCCTTGCCGAAGCCTCGGGGCGGCTTACAGCACAATAAAATACATTGAAATACAATAGAACATAATAAATTACCATTAAATACAAAAATACAAAAAATACACTGAGTTACAAACATAGTAATATAAAATTAAAATTATCAGTATAAAATAAGT